TGCGAAAGAATAGCAAAAGCAAAACAATAACTGTCTCTTTTATACTCATAAGCTTGACCGAGCGCGAGAGAGACGGACAGTCTTTTGATGATGCATATTCAATTTGACACCGAACCTCGCGCTTATTCACAGACACTACACAAGCACAAAGTGTAAATGTGTTGAAGCCGCCAGGTTTAGATAACATACCAATACTACGCGAAAGATGCTTACTACCTGCTTCGTTTAGTTCCAAAACCCCCACAGAGCGCTTGTTAAGTTTTCCATACAAAAATTAGTGGTTACTTTTCTTTGTTTATGGCGAGAGCTGGTATATTTTCCATATTGTTCGTGCCAAGGACTGTTGGAGTATAATCAAGTATCACAACTAGAACTTAAAGCCTGTGTTATACCCAATCACCAAATATTAACAAAATTATTTAATTGCAATTTCGAGTTTCTGTTGTCTGAATACATTGAAACTCTTTCCATTTCTACGTTAATTATAATACATCGTAGAAGAAATATAAGTGGTTTGATAATAATAATAATACTGAATAATGTATACTCACATTGCAGAGAAATTAATAAAACTATTTGCTATAATTCTCTCAAAAAACATAACTTTAGATGTAAGAATATTTTATAAGTTACTAGAAGACTCGGCCAAGCGTAGCTGTGGCTAAGGTTTTTGTTATATTACATAGCAGTAAACTATTCAAGGGAAACGGTAGTAGAACATCAGTCGTGGAGACCATCATGCTTTTTTGGTGGTTATGCCATTAAATTGTATCTTATGTGAAACGTTGGTACTTTCAACACAGCGTCATCTGTTAAAATTGTGACTGTCAAATATTAAACAAATATTTTGCAATATCATAATATTGCGGGTATAAATTGAGATGTAAACTATCCTATCTTTTAAGTTAGATCAATCTGCACACGGTGTGCAAATTTGATTTGATGAAATCGGTTCAGTAGTCTAGGAGTCCATAGCGGGCAAACAACGTGACGCGTAATTTATATATATTAAGATTAAGAACCGGAAAATGGTTAATTTTCTTGAAAATCTTCTTTTTAGCTTTCGTAAGGAAACTATTCGAATTCTTGTTTTATCCTAACGAGGAAGCAAGTAAAAAATAAACTGGAACCGTTGTAACCTTATGTTTAAAATAAAACATCTAAATATCGGTACACAACAAAACTAAAAAAAAAAAATGATGAGTATTGATAGGCAGTGTTGTCTATTGTTTAACTAAATATATAAAGTCGTATAAGTCGGAGCAATGGCGCATCTGTCAGCAGCCATTGTCATTGTAAGTCACAGGGCTCATAAATTAACAACATCGAAGTCGAAGTGTTTTAATCGATTTGGCAATATTACTCACTTACTCAATTGGTTCTACGACCCAAAAGTGTCTTGGCCTCCGAAAGAACAGCGCTCTCTGTTTTGTGCCACCTGCCACGAATTTCTGGATTTCAGCTGCACGAGATCCTTCCCCACTCTGTCAATCCAGCCTAGGCCGACTTACTGGTCTCCGACCAATAGGCCGGCTCGAGTAAGCATCCTTTACCGTTCAGTCTTGGCCCATGCGCTCAAAGTGCTAGCTAATGCAGTCGATGGGTCTTACATTCGCATATAATGTTGAGATGGGCTACCAACTCTTTTTCGGCCTCTCCGCGATCCGTCCTCTATCCTTGACTTCTGCTCCTCTTTCATGGTTATGTTCAAGCTTGTAACACATACAGGAAAATTCGCAAATTCGGTCGCATAGTATACACGACCAGTCGTTATGCCAATATTACTAGATCTAAAAATAAACCACTACCAATAGTGGTTACTACATATGACAATGAAAATAAAATGATGGATTTGCTATTAATTATCTTTGACTTTCTGGCTTCCTTTCTCCACGTGTGATCCTTAACAATCTTGCACTATTATTTAGATGTTGCCCTCGCTCCTGTTCCTGTTACTCCTCGTCTTCTATTGCCCTCTCATTCCGTCATTTATGTTTAATAAAAAAACAATCGCAAGATGTAAAAAATTAAAAAAAATATATATAAAAAAGTCTGGACTTCAGTTTACTGTTTTTTGATCATTTGTTTTTTTCTAGTAGGCAAGTAGGCGTTCAGCCTTCTGTGCCTGATGCACCCCGTTGCGCACAGCCGGGGATCGAACCTACAACCTGGATGAGAGTTGAGGCCACTAGATGAACACTGCTCTAGTGACATCAGCGTGCAATCAAAACTCCCAAAAAAACAACAAAAATCGCGCCTTTGCCAACTATTAAAGGTTCCTCTTTACCTTGAACCCTTGGTTCCGAAATTTTGAAATTTCCTTTGTTACGACGGATTGGCACAGATGTTAGATTACCTAATTTACACATTTGTGGCCAAATTTCAAAGTCGATTTGTCCCTTCACACACAAAATATCATGATTACCATAACAATGAAATACATTTTATTTTAATTAACTGACGCGAATACCTAAATAAGTTCAGTGTTTGTCTAAATGTAGTAATGATTAGACGTGTTTAAATACTTTAACAGAGTTACCTATAACATATCCAAGGTGTTAAAGGTTTCATTAAGAAATTAATATAAAAGATTTAAAACACAGTGTTAATACGTGAAATATGACCGAAGAATATACAAAAGTTCGAAGTACTGAAATTTGTTGTGGTAGGTTCCTTTGTATTTTTTTCCATTTATATTTTTAGGATTCATTTTTATATAATAAACATTTTTAAGTTTCTCGTTATAGCCGGTGCCTGCAAGTCAACTGATTCGACGCGCTATGCCTTAGGTTGTATCTTCAATTCCCAGCGAAGTACTTATTATTTTAGGTTGACTGAGTGAAAAATCAAAAGCCTGATCTTTATTTTCCTTAAAATGTTCTTGGAACTGTCCGGACATGTGCCTGCATCATGACTGAATGTTAGGTTTAATTGGCCAGTCCATATCAAGTTCGTTACAATTTATGATTTTTTAAGAGCGTAATGTGTGTTGAAAAGAACTCGAATCACAAAAGAAATAGGTTTTTTGATATTATAAAATAAATTGCTCAGGTGCATGCTGCTTAGCATTAAAGTCTGATTAAGTCATAACTAATATAAGTAATAATTATACAAGGTTAAATACTGATTAAATATGTTAATTTTTGGAATAACACTTACATACAATAAAATATATTTTATTTTATTTAGTTTGAAATTAATAATAAATTAAAGTTTTAAAATTGAAATCCTTGAGTAGTTTAATGTAGTCGTTGCATTAATGTTATTATTAAGTCTCCGTTTTATTTTTTCTAAATAAAACTTACTTAAAACTTTTATACTAAAAAAAATTATCGAAATGTTTACGATTAAGTAAATTTTAATGAAATTCAAATAAATGCAGGTAAACAGCCGCAGGTACCTCAAATGTCAGTATCAAGAGCCATCTGCCAAGAAAAGCGCGCCATTTTGTGTTCGCGCAATGCGCAGCGCAGTAAAGTAAACATGAATAAGTGAGTAATTAAACTAATGCGAAATAATTTTTTACAGATGAGAGAGTGTTTCCACCAAAATATGGGTTCGGAGTTCGACATGTTCAAGTTCTCGTTATTTTTACCACACAGACACTAGCATTTTTGGCTAGAGGACATTTAAGTGCGACTATTGTATCTATGACTAATAAAATTGAAACTGTAGGTACCAGACCAAATATTACTGACATTAATGGAGTAAATACAACATTAGACCATCTAATGATACAATCTGAAGAAGCGATTTATAGAGTAAGTATATCTCTAACAGTTGGTTGTCAAAAGTATGATCTGACATGTCATACTTTTGACAAAAAGATTACTTACTAAATACATATTTCCGAAATAAGGCTAAACGCGTTATAACTAATTGCTTAGCTAACCTTGTACTTAATAAGGACATTCAAAGATAAGAAACATTTTAAAAAAAGAAAAAGAAAGCAGAAATTTGTAGTAATAATTATTTATACTAAGAAGTAATTTCATCGTTGGTATTAGAGGTTTGGATGCCAAAAACCGCCATATTACTCCCTTTCATGACATATTTGCAGATATATTTTATGGACTTTGACTTTCTTATTTCGTCAACAGATGGCACCACATACTGTTTGCATTCTTAAAATTAATTAATTATTATTCGATAACTTGTCCGATATTTTATTACTTATTCGGCTATTCGGATTGGAGAAGAATCCACCAAAAAAGAGATCTAGAACCAACATCGGTCCAGCCGATCTTGATTTATAAGTGGTGTAACTAACACGACTATGTTTTATAATATACACTTAAATATAGATAATAGAAAGGAGACGTTTTATATTACTAAATACGGATAAAACCTTAAAAACATGATTTTCTCAAAAATCCCAATCAAAACTCCATCTAATATATAAAATTCTCGTGTCACAGTTTTCGTTGCCATACTCCTCCGAAACGGCTTGACCGATTCTCATGAAATTTTGTGTGCTTATTGTGTATGTCTGAGAATCGGACAACATCTATTTTTCATCCCCCTAAATGTTAAGGGTAGTCCACCCCTAAATTATTATTTTTATTTTTTAGATAAATTACTTATTTTTTGATACTGCATAAAAAAATACATACAACCCCTAACTTTCACCCCTCTACGATCAACCCCTATTTTTTATTATAAATGATATACATGGCAAAATGACGTTTGCCGGATCAGCTAGTATTAAGATAAAATAGAGTACGATAGTACTCGTAGTATCGACAACAAACACTTTATAGCGTTAACGAATACTTAAGTTCTTTGTTACATTAAAATAGCGTTACTATTATAATTTTAGAATTATTTGTTTAAATTTGACGTTTCGCGCATTTTTAAATGGTCACCAGTTTAGTTTCTTACAAAACGTGAGACTTCATTATAAGCCAATAATAAATATTATTATAATTTTTTAGACTTACCAATGGCCAAAATCAACGCAAGAAGTGGTTCTATCCTCGTTCTTCCTTGGGTACTCAATTATGACTTATGTTAGTGGTATAATTTGTCAAAAGTGGGGCGGCAAAATTCCTATACAAATCTCCATGTTTGTGAATGGTATTGTGTCTCTATTATCGCCGTGGGTGGTGGCTTGGGTATGTGTTTATACTTCTAAGTAGAGAGAACCTATACTAACTTTTCATGAGAAATTATAAACATTAACTATCAAAATATAGATGGGAAGAATTTTACAGCATACAATTTAAATTATTATGATTGGTTTTGTTGTTACAGGGTGGTTGGAAAGCGTTATCAGTATGTCGAATATTACAAGGTTTTTCCCAGGGTGGCATGTTGCCTGGCATACATACGCTTTTGGCAAACTGGGTTCCGCCCAATGAGCGAGCCAGTCTTAGCAGCTTTTCTTATACGGGTAAATTTATTTATTATTCATATAATTAGAAGGAATTATATTAGATAATATGAATTTAACACAAATCCTAAGATGGTATTTCTGAAAAAAAAAGGATGGCTTAATTATTTTAATTGCAAAAAGCAACGATATACACTTTTAAAATTTGTAATATGAAGTCATAGAAGAAGTCACGGTACATAGAATTCAAACCATAAAATAAATTTTTTATCGTCACATATAGATCTACTCTGTAGTAGAAACAAATTAATTTTGTTCCAATAGGCTTATTGTTATAAAATGCTTTAGGTTCAGGATTGGGTACTGTAATGGGTTTCCAGTTTAGTGGTCTTCTGGCTTACAGTCGCTTTGGCTGGCCTTCAACCTTCTGGACTATAGGTGTGCTCTGCCTGCTTGGGTTCACTCTTATAACCTTATTTGGAGCTGCCACGCCGATGAAGCACAAAAGCATTTCAGAAGAAGAGCGAAACTATATTATTGGTGGATCTGGTTATGGAACTCACACTGTAAGTAAATTTAATAAATTAAAAAAATGACAAACCAAATTAAGTATCAGGTTTATCAAGTATTATCAAGTCTTTTAAAAAAAAATCTGTGGCGCTACAACCTTTCAGGTCTGCACCTCAGATTTATGATATCTCAGAGATATTTTTTTTTATTGAGTATTAAAGTAGGTTATAATCCTGCCGTGGCTGACAAAAACGTGAGGAAACCCCTCACGATGTTTTATTTACCATTCGTGTGTGTTAAATGCACATAGACACAGCATACTCTTAGGAAAGTAGAACTAAAGTCACTAGGGCAACACTAATGCTCATGTCTTTTAATGCTGTTTACATTTTCAGCAACCCAAAGTTCCATGGAAAGCGATACTTACATCAAAACATGTTTTAGCGGCGTTTTTAAGCCACATATGCAATATATTATGTTATACATTCTTATTTATGCAAATGCCAACATATATGTATGCGATCTTGAAAGTTAATATAAAAAATGTAAGTATTTTCTACATAACGGACACCGCCCGGGCAATTCAAGTTATCCCATCGTGTTAACTTCATAATATTTTCACTATAATTTATTACGTTATTCACTTAATTTGAATTTCGAATGCTTTACAGTCGAGAGAAGGCAAAGTTAAGTAAAAATTAAAATCCGCTTACAGAGTTTCATTTGAGTCTTCTATAGTCCAAGACAATATTTTATCTACAGGGATGCTTATTCACCTATTGATACTCTTGATAATTCTGTATTAATATGTATTAAACATAACTATTGTCATTTCAGAGCGGTGTACTATCGTCTGTACCATTCCTTGGTGTTATTATAATGTGTATTGTTTCCGGATATTTATCAGATCTTTTGATAAATAAAAAGGTTATAACAGTTAAAAGTGCAAGACGACTCGCAAATTCTGTAGGTAAGAATTACTACTTACTCCTGTACCATAATTTCGTTTTATGATAATTTTCAGTTTTTGATAGCTCTAAACTAGTATAGTTCTACACGGATAAGTAATTTTTATTAGTAATCATAACGATCAAGTACATATACAGATTTTGAAAGTAATAATTAAAAATGAATAAAAAGAATATTAAAACAAATTTAAAAAGTTTGGTCCCTGTGACAGTGTACCTTTAACGCTGGCAGCATTTCTTCTCTGTATTGCGTTACTTATTCGTTGAGCGAGGAAAGCACCAGCTCTGGGTCACCGGAAGTATCTACCACGCGCCAACTTAAATCTTTAATTAGCGCCTGTGCACTTGAACTAGTGTTGCCCAAATGCAAGACCAAGACGAGACTTAGGCCAGTCTTGGTATTGGTCTTGCGTCAATACACCTAATAAAAAAAAAAATTGAGTTTCGCGGGCTATCCTATGCTACCTATGCGGCCAAAATAAGGAAGTGCGTGTGTGTTGAGATTAGCAGATTTCATTACAGTGTGCGTAGGTACAATTACCTTAGGTAATTAATTTAGGTAGCAATTTGTCGTACTCGTGACTGGCGCGCTTTGCTACGTAGGTACAGTCGTTAAAGTATGTGTAAGTAAGAAACAATGTAGGAACCTACTACAACAAAATTGTATTCCTTAGAAAAATAATCGTCTTACCTACACGACGATTATTTTTATTTATTTAGTAAATCATCGCTGAAGACAATAGTCGCTACTAGAGTAGGTACGATAGAAGTTGATAAACTCGACACTGCAAATCTCGATTTTTGGAAGTGTGTGATTTTAAAACAAAATGCGTAAAGCAATATGTCGTCGCTCATATTTGGAGCTTTTCCACGTTTCAAGTTTGTTAAAATCACCCACTTCCAATTTTGCAGTGCAATGTCCTTTAAAAAGGTATAATAGGTCATAATAATATAAACTAGGTATATTATTATTACTTATCTTATATATCTACCTATCCTTACGACTACAATCTTCCTTGCGAGGGTGTAATTGAATGGTAAACTCTAAATCTTACTTGAGAGCTTATGGAAAGCCCTGACATGGCATAAACACTTTTCAATTATGCTGCTCACATTTTAGTACCTAGGTATATCACTCACTATCTATCATTTACCGATATTAACAATGATTATTTCGAAATCAAAATATTCGCAATTCAATAGATGCAATACCTACTTAGTTATTAATTATCATCTCGCCCGACTGCTTTAAACGCTGTAGTGTTCGAATTCGAGCCAGTGTGAGGATGTATTTAAATACAAGAAACTCAGAGCATTCAATTTATACCTACCTACTGCTGATACATCTTCAAGGTCATTTAATTTTATCCTCCTGTACCAACCCTACCAAAATAGGTAACAATTTTGTGTGCCTCTGTCCGGACTCTTTGTCGGCGAATGCGGCGCTCAAACAGTGTCAAATGCTGTGATACACTTGTTGCAAACCGCGGCTTTGTCGGTAAATTATCAAATAAGTAGGTATATAATACACCGACCGACCAACAGTTTATTCGCAGAACGTCACATTTTCCCAATCAACCTTGAACCTTAATTCTTTAGCGATAAAGGTGAAAATCTGTTAAAGAAATTTGACAGATTGTAGTAGCTTGATGTGCTGGCGTCTGTACCATACTATTGGCTGTCGTAAAAACTGTTACTAGACCTACTCGACTCGCTGTTAGTTTTAAATTTTGCTAAATAGAAGAATAATATAAACTTTGAAAAATTAGTAGCTACCTACATAATGTTTATATAATTTTGAAGGCTATAAATTTAAGCACATACCAACCTACGAGTACTAACGTTAGATCTGCACATTAGACATAAACAAGCATAATATATTATTATAGGTAGATACCTATAAGGTATGAACTTTGCTAGAAAGTTATTCTAGGTAAATTTTATCACATGGGATGATGGTAACAGATTTGTGAGTATTAACACGCTACCTACTTAATAAATTGTTGAAATATAATAAGTACTTACCTACCTAATCAATATAATACCTTTCAGGGTTCTTTCAGACGAGCGGCACGTTTAGTGTTATGACGGTACCAACGGTTTTGATACTGGGGAACGTCTCTCCAAATCGGGATTAAAACCAAATACCTGCTTAATAACGCCCAAATCTCAGTTTGTCTTAACGCAAGACGCAAGAGTCTTGCAGGCTTAAGTATTATCTTGCTCAAGTCTTGCAGGCTTCAGTCTTGGTCTTGGTATTGCTACAATAAGGCGATCTTGGTATTGGTCTTGGTCTTGCAAAAAAATGCAAGAACAAGACCAAGACCGATTTTGGGCAACACTAACTTGAACACCATGGCCCAAGAGTCTCTACACGGATTATATTCGAATAATGAATTCTTCTGAATGAAAACTAGCTTCCGTCAAGTTACAACGCGCTCTCAGTTTTAATTTTATCGAAAATGTACCGTTAGTTCTCTATTACCTATATTATCCTATGATATTATTTGATTTTAAACATTGTTTGTTTTAAGGCTTCAGCCTTGCGGTTCTGTAACTCACTTTTCGAATTTACACAGCGGTTTTCACAGTGGCGGTCGCGCTCAAATCAGTTGTGAAGCAGTCATTTTTCGATTTGGCATTCTGATAAACAATAAACTACAGACTGCAAACAAACACATATACGTAATATACATGTTATATTCACAGCGCGAACGCAGCGGTTTTTCATATAATTTGTATAATTTACCACAAATACACCATAGATTACACTATAGATTTTTTATAAAATATGGTCCATTATAGTATTTTTTTTCTAGCTTCTATCATGCCAGCGATAGCCCTATGCTTCGTATCCTATACCAAGTCAGTGACTGTGGCTGTCATATTGTTTGTAATAGCTTTAGGTGTCCAAGCAACTATGTATTCCGGGTGGGTGGTAAGTTTGTTTAATTAAAGGTAATTAAATATCCCAGTTTTGCGTTTATAAGTAGGTAGACAAATCAAATCAAAGTTTATGTATTCGTTTGGTATATGCACTTATGAACGTGAACATTAAAAATCATATCATGATTTACAACCAACTTCCAAATCAAGGGGCTTTGCTCGCGAAAAGAACTGGCAAGAACCTCCGCCGCTCTTTTTAATCGCAAAGTTTTTGGTTTACAAGTATATTGTAGGCAACTGCAACGACGCCATGCTTCATATGACATATAAATATTTTAATAATAAATTATAAGTTGGCATCAGCGGGCAAAATAGAATCTTAACCGTGAAGACAAAACATAATATAAATGCGAGATTAATTGCAAGATATTTCCTACTTATATCGGCATGTTAAACTATGAATTAAACTTTTTATTAAAATAAATACCTAATACTGAAACACACCAGAAACATTGTTTAATATTTCAGGTAAACTACATAGATCTATCACCGAACTACAGTGGAATTCTAATGGCCATTGGAAATGGTTCAGCGAATTTAATGTGTGTCCTAATATTGCCTGTAATGGTCACAAATATCGTCAAGGATGTTGTGAGTCTACTAAAACTTGTCAATAATATATCATATTATTATAAAGGAACACAAAATTAAATTATATGCATAATGCATATTGCACATAATTAAAGAATATAACCATATATAACCAATACATTTTAGTATTTGTCTGGGTAAATCAAGTTTAACGACTGTTTTCTGTAATATTTGGTAAGGAAATCGCTAAAAATTAAAAAAAAAACCAAATGTATGTGAAAATTTGGTTTATGTTATGAACAGCGCCAGTACTCCGACTACCGTTAGCAAAAAACAGTAGCGCCAATATCACTTACAGTACCCATGGTTTTTTCACTTAGATTTTGATATGTGTTTTCTTAGTTATATAATATTTATTTATACGGTATATATAGATATAGATATGATAGATTTTTATTTAAGACTAAAACGAGATTTAATACGATAAAAATGTTGTTTCAGACAAATCAGATACAATGGAGAATTATGATGTATTTAATGGCTTCAATCAATCTTCTTGGGAATATAATATTTGTTATACTTATATCAACTGAAGTACAGCCATGGAATGAACAAAAGTTCAAAGGTTAGTTTAAATTTGTAAGAATAAAAGTTATAAGAAAATCCGATAACTCACTATTGAGCAACCCTGTGTTTGTGGTATACAAAGTGATCTGATATCTTAATTTGTCTTCTGTAAATGAAAAACTTATTAAATTAAACATTTTAAAGTTATCTGTATATCTGCGCCTCGTGTCTCCTTGTCTTGCTTCATGCATCGCCAATAATATTTCATTGGGGCACGGGGTAGTCATTTCTTTAATTTTAATAAATTGTAAACAAAACAGTTACTGTTTCACCCAGTTTGTAAGCCATGAACTCTATATCATAAATGTAGCATTTCTGTATTAATATGGAAACCCAAATAACTGACAGTTTTTCTTTAGATGAGCCTCACACTGAAGATGAAGCAATCGCTCTACAAGGTTAATTGTTGTTATATTTGTCATAAAGAAATAAATTAAGGTCTTATTTTCTAGTATCATTATTTCCTATTCTTTTCTCTGTCATATCGTTATAATAAAAATATATTTCGCTAAAGGTGCAGTTTTGTTTTTATAGAACGATCAGAAAACCAATTATAGATTTAAAATGTTCTATAATTGGTTTTCTAAATAGAAATATTAATTAAAAATGGATAAATGGAAAACTAAAAAAAATTGAAAAGGTTTGGTCCCTGGCAGTGTACTCTTAATGCTGGCAGTATTTCCTCGCTTTATTGCGAAAGAATAGCAAAAGCAAAACAATAACTGTCTCTTTTATACTCATAAGCTTGACCGAGCGCGAGAGAGACGGACAGTCTTTTGATGATGCATATTCAATTTGACACCGAACCTCGCGCTTATTCACAGACACTACACAAGCACAAAGTGTAAATGTGTTGAAGCCGCCAGGTTTAGATAACATACCAATACTACGCGAAAGATGCTTACTACCTGCTTCGTTTAGTTCCAAAAACCCCCACAGAGCGCTTGTTAAGTTTTCCATACAAAAATTAGTGGTTACTTTTCTTTGTTTATGGCGAGAGCTGGTATATTTTCCATATTGTTCGTGCCAAGGACTGTTGGAGTATAATCAAGTATCATAACTAGAACTTAAAGCCTGTGTTATACCCAATCACCAAATATTAACAAAATTATTTAATTGCAATTTCGAGTTTCTGTTGTCTGAATACATTGAAACTCTTTCCATTTCTACGTTAATTATAATACATCGTAGAAGAAATATAAGTGGTTTGATAATAATAATAATACTGAATAATGTATACTCACATTGCAGAGAAATTAATAAAACTATTTGCTATAATTCTCTCAAAAAACATAACTTTAGATGTAAGAATATTTTATAAGTTACTAGAAGACTCGGCCAAGCGTAGCTGTGGCTAAGGTTTTTGTTATATTACATAGCAGTAAACTATTCAAGGGAAACGGTAGTAGAACATCAGTCGTGGAGACCATCATGCTTTTTTGGTGGTTATGCCATTAAATTGTATCTTATGTGAAACGTTGGTACTTTCAACACAGCGTCATCTGTTAAAATTGTGACTGTCAAATATTAAACAAATATTTTGCAATATCATAATATTGCGGGTATAAATTGAGATGTAAACTATCCTATCTTTTAAGTTAGATCAATCTGCACACGGTGTGCAAATTTGATTTGATGAAATCGGTTCAGTAGTCTAGGAGTCCATAGCGGGCAAACAACGTGACGCGTAATTTATATATATTAAGATTATATGAACCGGAAAACGGTTAATTTTCTTGAAAATCTTCTTTTTAGCTTTCGTAAGGAAACTATTCGAATTCTTGTTTTATCCTAACGAGGAAGCAAGTAAAAAATAAACTGGAACCGTTGTAACCTTATGTTCAAAATAAAACATCTAAATATCGGTACACAACAAAACTCAAAAAAAAAATGATGAGTATTGATAGGCAGTGTTGTCTATTGTTTAACTAAATATATAAAGTTGTATAAGTCGGAGCAATGGCGCATCTGTCAGCAGCCATTGTCATTGTAAGTCACAGGGCTCATAAATTAACAACATCGAAGTCGAAGTGTTTTAATCGATTTGGCAATATTACTCACTTACTCAATTGGTTCTACGACCCAAAAGTGTCTTGGCCTCCGAAAGACCAACGGTCTCTGTTTTGTGCCACCTGCCACGAATTTCTGGATTTCAGCTGCACTAGATCCTTCCCCACTCTGTCAATCCAGCCTAGGCCGACTTACTGGTCTCCGACCAATAGGCCGGCTCGAGTAAGCATCCTTTACCGTTCAGTCTTGGCCCATGCGCTCAAAGTGCTAGCTAATGCAGTCGATGGGTCTTACATTCGCATATAATGTTGAGATGGGCTACCAACTCTTTTTCGGCCTCTCCGCGATCCGTCCTCTATCCTTGACTTCTGCTCCTCTTTCATGGTTATGTTCAAGCTTGTAACACATACAGGAAAATTCGCAAATTCAGTCGCATAGTATAATCGACCAGTCGTTATGCCAATATTACTAGATCTAAAAATAAACCACTACCAATAGTGGTTACTACATATGACAATGAAAATAAAATGATGGATTTGCTATTAATTATCTTTGACTTTCTGGCTTCCTTTCTCCACGTGTGATCCTTAACAATCTTGCACCATTATTTAGATGTTACCCTCGCTCCTGTTCCTGTTACTCCTCGTCTTCTATTGCCCTCTCATTCCGTCATTTATGTTTAATAAAAAAACTAGTGTTGCCCAAAATCGGTCTTGGTCTTGCAGTCTTGGTCTTGTTCTTGCGTTTCCGCAAGACCAAGACCAATACCAAGACCGCCTTATTATAGCAAGACCAATACCAAGACTGAACCCTGCAAGACTTGAGCAAGACAATACTTAAGCCTGCAAGAATCTTGCGTCTTGCAGTTAAGACAAACTGAGATTTGGGCGTTATTAAATCAAATACCTACTGTATTTGGTTTCAATCCCGATTTTGAGAAACGTTCCCCAGTATCAAAACCGTAGGTATCACATATCCTAACACTAAACTAAGGGCTGCAGTTGGCAACGTGCCGCTCGTCTGAAAGCACCCTGAAACGTATTGTATTGATTAGGTAGGTAAGTACTTATTATATTTCAACAATTTATTAAGTAGCGTGTTAATACTCACAAATCTGTTCCCACCATCCCATGTGATAAAATTTACCTAGAATAACTTTATAGCAAAGTTCATACCTTGTAGGTATCTTCCTATAATAATATGTTATGCTTGTTTATGTCTAATGTGCAGATCTAATGTTAGTACTCGTAGGTTGGTATGTGCTTAAAATTATAGCTAACAAAATTATATAAACATCATGTAGGTTAAATTAAAACTAACAGCAAGTCGAGTAGGTCTAGTAACAGTTTCTACAGCACCCAATATTATGGTACAGACGCCAGCACATCAAGCTACTAATAAAAATAATCTATCAAATTTCTTCAACAGATTTTCAAGTTTATCGCTAAGGAATTAAGGTTCAAAGTTGATTGGGGAAATGTGACGTTCTGCGAATAAACTGTTGGTCGGTCGGTGTATTATATACCTACTTATTTGATAATTTACCGACAAAGCCGCGGTTTGCAACAAGTGTATCACAGCATTTGACACTGTTTGAGCGCCGCATTCGCCGACAAAGAGTCCGGACAGAGGCACACAAAATTGTTACCTATTTTGGTAGGGTTGGTACAGGAGGATAAAATTAAATGACCTTGAAGATGTATCAGCAGTAGGTAGGTATAAATTGAATGCTCTGAGTTTCTTGTATTTAAATACATCCTCACACTGGCTCGAATTCGAACACTACAGCGTTTAAAGCAGTCGGGCGAGATGATAATTAATAACTAAGTAGGTATTGCATCTATTGAATTGCGAATATTTTGATTTCGAAATAATCATTGTTAATATCGGTAAATGATAGATAGTGAGTGATATACCTAGGTACTAAAATGTGAGCAGCATAATTGAAAAGTGTATATGCCATGTCAGTGCTTTCAATAAGTTTATTTTAAAAAAGCTCTCTAGTAAGATTTAGAGTTTACCATTCAATTACACACAACAAATTATTGAAAAACAAAAATTATGAAAAAGATATTTAGACTGAGTACTTAGGAAATAAGTAGAAAAAATATTCTATCGTGGATACCGAGTTATTAAAAAGTGGATAAACGTTGTGTTTACTTAATTTTATTTTTCTGTGCCAACATTGACAACCCCACCAAAATAGGTAAAAATTTAGTCCGCTTCTAGACTTTGTGTTGCCGCCGTCGCTTTCATGTCAAAGGTCGCCGCCACTGCCCATGTTCTAAAGAATAAAATAAGTTTCCGGGTGCTATGAACGGACGCAAATAGATTATGTTGTTCTCGCAAGGAAGAATGTAGTCGTAAGGATAGGTAGATTTTATAAAAAAAATTGTAAGTAATAAAAATATACCTAGATTATATTATTATTACCTATTATACCTTTTTAAAGGACATTGCACTGCAAAATTGGAAGTGGGTGATTTTAACAAACATAAAACGTGGAAAAGCTCCAAATATGAGCGACGTCATATTTCTTTACGCATTTTGTTTTAAAATCACACACTTCCAAAAATCGAGATTTGCAGTGTCGGTTTATCAACTTCTATCGTACCTACTCTAGTAGCGACTATTGTCTTCAGAGATGATTTACTAAATAAATAAAAATAATCGTCGTGTAGGTACGACGATAATTTTTCTAAGGAATACAATTTTGTTGTAGTAGGTACCTACATCGTTTCTTACTTACACATACTTTAACGACAGTACCTACTGAGCAAAGCGCGCCAGTCACGAGTATGACAAATTGCCTAAAAAACCTACCTACGCACACTGTAATGAAATCTGCTAATCTCTCAATCTCTGCCTGTAGCCTGCCTGCTATTATTGGTTGATGAACATTGTACATTGGTGAATGCTCCAGGATAGCCCGCAAGCCCCCACAAATAGTAATAGGCTAATAGGTATTTGCAAGTCTCGCGAGACTTGCAAGACTCTTGCTGCAAGATCAAGACCAAGACCAAGACTGAGAGCGCAATACCAATACCAAGACCAAGACCAGGTGTATTGACGCAAGACAATACCAAGACTGGTCTAAGTCTCGTCTTGGTCTTGCATTTGGGCAACACTAAAAAAAACAATCGCAAGATGTAAAAAATTAAAAAAAATATATATATAAAAAAGTCTGGACTTCAGTTTACTGTTTTTTGATCATTTGTTTTTTTCTAGTAGGCAAGTAGGCGATCAGCCTTCTGTGCCTGATGCACCCCGTTGCGCACAGCCGGGGATCGAACCTACAACCTGGATGAGAGTTGAGGCCACTAGATGAACACTGCTCTAGTGGCATCAGCGTGCAATCAAAACTCCCAAAAAAACAACAAAAATCGCGCCTTTGCCAACTATTAAAGGTTCCTCTTTACCTTAAACCCTTGGTTCCGAAATTTTTACGACGGATTGGCACAGATGTTAGATCACCTAATTTACACATTTGTGGCCAAATTTCAAAGTCGATTTGTCCCTTCACACACAAAATATCATGATTACCATAACAATGAAATACATTTTATTTTAATTAACTGACGCGAATACCTAAATAAGTTCAGTGTTTGTCTAAATGTAGTAATGATTAGACGTGTTTAAATACTTTAACAGAGTTACCTATAACATATCCAAGGTGTTAAAGGCTTCATTAAGAAATTAATATAAAAGATTTAAAACACAGTGTTAATACGTGAAATATGACCGAAGAATATACAAAAGTTCGAAGTACTGAAATTTGTTGTGGTAGGTTCCTTTGTATATTTTTCCATTTATATTTTTAGGATTCATTGTTATATAATAAACTTTTTTAAGTTTCTCGTTATAGCCGGTGCCTGCAAGTCAACTGATTCGACGCGCTAAGCCTTAGGTTGTATCTTCAATTCCCAGCGAAGTACTTATTATTTTAGGTTGACTGAGTGAAAAATCAAAAGCCTGATCTTTATTTTCCTTAAAATGTCCTTGGAACTGTCCGGACATGTGCATGCATCATGACTGAATGTTAGGTTTAATTGGCCAGTCCATATCAAGTTCGTTACAATTTATGATTTTTTAAGAGCGTAATGTGTGTTGAAAAGAACTCGAATCACAAAAGAAATAGGTTTTTTGATATTATAAAATAAATTGCTCAGGTGCATGCTGCTTAGCATTAAAGTCTGATTAAGTCATAACTAATATAAGTAATAATTATACAAGGTTAAATACTGATTAAATATGTTAATTTTTGGAATAACACTTACATACAATAAAATATATTTTATTTTATTTAGTTTGAAATTAATAATAAATTAAAGTTTTAAAATTGAAATCCTTGAGTAGTTTAATGTAGTCGTTGCATTAATATTATTATGAAGTCTCCGTTTTATTTTTCTAAATAAAACTTACTTAAAACTTTTATACTAAAAAAAATTATCGAAATGTTTACGATTAAGTAAATTTTAATGAAATTCAAATAAATGCAGGTAAACAGCCGCAGGTACCTCAAATGTCAGTATCAAGAGCCATCTGCCAAGAAAAGCGCGCCATTTTGTGTTCGCGCAATGCGCAGCGCAGTAAAGTAAACATGAATAAGTGAGTAATTAAACTAATGCGAAATAATTTTTTACAGATGAGAGAGTGTTTCCACCAAAATATGGGTTCGGAGTTCGACATGTTCAAGTTCTCGTTATTTTTACCACACAGACACTAGCATTTTTGGCTAGAGGACATTTAAGTGCGACTATTGTATCTATGACTAATAAAATTGAAACTGTAGGTACCAGACCAAATAATACTGACATTATTGGAGTAAATACAACATTAGACCATCTAATGATACAATCTGAAGAATCGATTTATAGAGTAAGTATATCTCTAACAGTAGGTTGTCAAAAGTATGATCTGACATGTCATACTTTTGGCAAAAAGATTACTAATTACCTACCTTAATTTAAATACATTTAGATAATAGATATTTACGAAATAAGGCTAAACGCGTTATAACTAATTGCTTAGCTAACCTTGTACTTAAATAAGGACAATAATTAATATAAATAAGGACATAATTCAAAGATAAAAAGAAAAAGAAAGCAGAAATTTGTAGTAATAATTATTTATACTAAGAAGTAATTTCATCGTTGGTATTAGAGGTTTGGATGCCAAAAACCGCCATATTACTCCCTTTCATGACATATTTGCAGATATATTTTATGGACTTTGTTCTTATTTCGTCAATAGATGGCACCACATACTGTTTGCATTTGTAAAATTAATTAATTAATTCATTATTATTCGATAACTTATCCGATATTTTATTACTTATTCGGATTGGAGAAGAATCCACCAAAAAAGAGATCTAGAACCAACATCGGTCCAGCCGATCTTGAGTTATAAGTGGTGTAACTAACACGACTATGTTTTATATACACTTAAATATAGATAATAGAAAGGAGACGTTTTATATTACTAAATACGGATAAAACCTTAAAAACATGATTTTCTCAAAAATCCCAATCAAAACTCCATCTAATATATAAAATTCTCGTGTCACAGTTTTCGTTGCCATACTCCTCCGAAACGGCTTGACCGATTCTCATGAAATTTTGTGTGCTTATTGTGTATGTCTGAGAATCGGACAACATCTATTTTTCATCCCCCTAAATGTTAAGGGTAGTCCACCCCTAAATTATTATTTTTATTTTTTAGATAAATTACTTATTTTTTGATACTGCATAAAAAAATACATACAACCCCTAACTTTCACCCCTCTACGATCAACCCCTATTTTTTATTATAAATGATATACATGGCAAAATGACGTTTGCCGGATCAGCTAGTATTAAGATAAAATAGAGTACGATAGTACTCGTAGTATCGACAACAAACACTTTATAGCGTTAACGAATACTTAAGTTCTTTGTTACATTAAAATAGCGTAACTATTATAATTTTAGAATTATTTGTTTAAATTTGACGTTTCGCGCATTTTTAAATGGTCACCAGTTTAGTTTCTTACAAAACGTGAGACTTCATTATAAGCCAATAATAAATATTATTATAATTTTTTAGACTTACCAATGGCCAAAATCAACGCAAGAAGTGGTTCTATCCTCGTTCTTCCTTGGGTACTCAATTACGACTTATGTTAGTGGTATAATTTGTCAAAAGTGGGGCGGCAAAATTCCTATACAAATCTCCATGTTTGTGAATGGTATTGTGTCTCTATTATCGCCGTGGGTGGTGGCTTGGGTATGTGTTTATACTTCTAAATAGAGAGAACCTATACTAACTTTTCATGAGAAATTATAAACATTAACTATCAAAATATAGATGGTTAGAATTTTACAGCATACAATTTAAATTATTATGATTGGTTTTGTTGTTACAGGGTGGTTGGAAAGCGTTATCAATATGTCGTATATTACAAGGTTTTTCCCAGGGTGGGATGTTGCCTGGCATACATACACTTTTGGCAAACTGGGTGCCGTTCAATGAGCGAGCCAGTCTTAGCAGCTTTTCTTATACGGGTAAATTTATTTATTATTCATATAATTAGAAGGAATTATATTAGATAATATGAATTTAACACAAATCCTAAGACGGTATTTCTGAAAAAAAAGGTTGGCTAAATTATTTTAATTGCAAAAAGCAACGATATACTTTTTTTTAAATTTGTTACATGAAGTCATAGAAGAAGTCACGGTACATAGAATTCAAACCATCAAATAATTTTTTATCGTCACATATAGATCTACTCTGTAATAGACCAAATTAATTTTCTTCCAATAGGCTAATTGTTATAAAAGTGGTTGAAAAATGCTTTAGGTTCAGGATTGGGTACTGTAATGGGTTTCCAGTTTAGTGGTCTTCTGGCTTACAGTCGCTTTGGCTGGCCTTCAACCTTCTGGACTATAGGTGTGCTCTGCCTGCTTGGGTTCACTCTTATAACCTTATTTGGAGCTGCCACGCCGATGAAGCACAAAAGCATTTCAGAAGAAGAGCGAAACTATATTATTGGTGGATCTGGTTATGGAACTCACACTGTAAGTAAATTTAATAAATTAAAAAAATGACAAACCAAATTAAGTATCAGGTTTATCAAGTATTATCAAGTCTTTAAAAAAAATCTGTGGCGCTACAACCTTTCAGTCCTCAGATTTCTGTATCCGCTTCGAGATAATTTTTTGTAATTAGTATAAAAGTAGGTTATAATCCTGCCGTGGCTGGAAAAAACCGTCGTCTTTTTGGGCATGAAGCATGTAAACCTGAGGAAACCTCTCACGATGTTTTATTTACCGTTCGAGTGTGTGTTAAATGCACACATAGACAAATTGCACAGCCTTAGGAAAGTATTACGCTAAAGTCACTAGGGCAACACTAATGCTGTTTACATTTTCAGCAACCCAAAGTTCCATGGAAAGCGATACTTACATCAACACATGTTTTAGCCGCTATTTTAAGCCACATATGCAATATATTATGTTATACATTCTTATTTATGCAAATGCCAACATATATGTATGCGATCTTGAAAGTTAATATAAAAAATGTAAGTATTTTCTACATAACGGACACCGCCCGGGCAATTCAAGTTATCCCATCGTGTTAACTTCATAATATTTTCACTATAATTTATTACGTTATTCACTTAATTTGAATTTCGAATGCTTTACAGTCGAAAGAAGGCAAAGGTAAGTAAAAATTAAAATCCGCTTAAATAGTTTCATTTGAGTCGTCTATAGTCAAAGATAGTTTGGAAAATCCAAAAGTGCACGCCTGATAGCGGTCATTCATATTTTTAAAATAAAACTAAAACAAAAACTCAAGTTTTTTAAAACAAAATAACAAATAAATTATTATCTTTAATTCTCACGCTACGAAGAATATTTAAACATACATATTTAGTGGCGCCATAACTCTAAGGTGAGGAACAGTCGTGTTTTAGTTTTTTACAAATTATAATTAAACGACAGTACTTAGAACGCTAATATTAACTAGGAAAAAAAGTATTCTGGTACGATAAATTTTTCGACCAATTTCTCTGCCACATACATGGATCCATAAACACAGACTGACGGACGTCCAAGAATGATTGATTTTAATGTTATTATTTACTATGTTAAACAAAATAATTGTTCATAAAAAATACCATATGTGCTTGATAGATTATTTAACTCGATTTTAGTGCACTCATATTATCCTGTAAGTGTTATATTAGTGAGAAAAATGTCATTCAAGTTTCGAATGGTTTTTTGACATGTCGAGAGTAGAGCACTGCGAGGCGTGCAATAATATTTTGTCTACAGGGATGCTAATTGACCTGTTGATAATAATTCTATATTATCATCATTAAACATACTAACTATTGTCATTTCAGAGCGGTATACTATCGTCTCTACCATTCCTTGGCGTTATCATCATGTGTATTGTTTCCGGATATTTATCAGATCTTTTGATAAATAAAAAAGGTTATAACAGTTAAAAATGCAAGACGGCTCGCAAATTCTGTAGGTAAGAATTACTACTTACTTCTGTACCAAAGTATTGTAAGCACATATGGATCATTTATCATAATTTCGTTTTATGACAATTTTTAGGTTTTGATAGCTCTAAACTAGTATAGTTCTACACGGATAAGTAATTTTTATTAGAAATCATAACAATCTAGTATATACAATTTAAATATATTATAATCAGTATTTACAATTTTCTTTAACTGCAAAGTAATAATAAAGATAATTCAAATTGAATAAAAAGAATATTAAAACAAATTTAAAAAGTTTGGTCCCTATGGCAGTGCACTTTTAACGCTGGCAGCATTTCCTCGCTGTATTGCGATACTTATTCGTTGAGCGAGGAAAGCACCAGCTCTGGGGTCACCGCTATTATCTACCAGGCGCCAACTTAAATCTTTAGTTAGCGCCACAAGCGTTAAAGGTGTTCTTGAACCCCACGGCTCAAGAATGTCTACAGATTATTTCTACTTCGGATTTTATTCGAATAATGAATTCTTCTAATTGAAAAAATGGCTTCCGTCACGTTACAAAAGCGCTCACAATTTTAATTTTTCCAAAAATGTACTGTTTGTTCACCTATATTATCCTATGATATTATTTGATTTTAAGCATCGTTTGTTTTAAGGATTCAGACTGCACGGTATTTACGATATAAGTCTATAAAACACATATTGGTAATATATGTTATTTACACAGCGCGAAAACATCGGTTTTTCATATAATTTGTATTATTTTCCACAAAAATTATTAGTGAACAAATCCAGTACATCACTAGACTATAGATTTCTTAATTAGATATGGTCTATAATAGTATTTTTTTCTAGCTTCTATCGTACCAGCTATAGCACTATGCTTCGTATCCTACACCAAGTCAGTGACTGTGGCCGTCATATTGTTTGTAATAGCTTTAGGTGTCCAAGCAACTATGCATTCCGGGTGGTTGGTAAGTTCGTTTAATTAAAGGTAATTAAATATCCCAGTTTTGTTTTTATAAGGAAGTAAACAAATCAAATCAAAGTTTACGTATCAGTTTGGTACTACACGTGCACTTATGAACGTGAATATTAAAAAAAGGAATATTTAGAATATTTATATATTCTCAAAATACAAAATACCATCCGTATCTCCTCGACGTCCGTCGTATCACAACTGAGCGTTTTCTAAGGCAGTTTTTGCCGCGCACCACCACTATGTGGAACCAGCTGAAGTATTAGGTCCTTACATATGAAATTGGCGTATTTCGTACTGGCCACTTTAATCACGATGTTCTCCTCTTTGGTAAGGAATTCCAAATTCAAATTTGTACAGCTATTTACTCATGTATTTGTGCTTCGATGCCCGTCATTCATTTGTTTTTTTTCATCTGTGTCACTCATTTTACAAAATGGAAAACTTAAAGTATCGCATTATTTACGGCACTAGTGCTGCGGAAACGACTCGAAGGGTGAATGATGTGTATGGCGGTCATGTTGCAAAAGAAAACACAGTTCGTTTTTGGTTTCAACGTTTTCGTTCTGGAAATTTCGACCTGCAGAACAAGCCCCGTGGACGGCCTGAGACCCAAGTTGATAATGAAGTATTGAAGGCTATTGTGGAAGCGGGTCCATCGCATACCACGTCCGAGTTAGCTGCAGGCTGCGGTGTTAGTGATAAAACTGTTTTAATTCACTTGAAGCAAATTGGGAAGATTAAAAAGCTTGAAAGATGGGTACCTCACGAGTTGACTAAAGCAAACCGGCAAACGCGCGTCGACTGCTGCGTTACATTACTGAACCGGCACAATAATGAAGGTATTTTAAACCGAATCATTACCTGTGATGAAAAATGGATTCTTTACGATAATCGGAAGTGCTCAGCGCAATGGTTGGATCCTGGCCAGCCAGCCAAATCCTGCCCCAAGCGAAAATTAACCCCAAGAAAGGTACTTGTAAGCGTTTGGTGGACTAGTGCCGGTATTGTTCATTGCAGTTTTCTCAAATCTGGCCAGACTATTACGGCTGATGTCTATTGTCAGCAATTGCAAACCATGATGGAAAAGCTAGCGGCTAAACAACCTAGGCTGGTCAATCGCTCCACGCCACTGCTACTTCACGACAACGCTAGACCACACACTGCACAACAGACGGCTACCAAATTAGAAGAGCTTCAATTGGAATGTCTAAGACATCCTCCGTACTCCCCGGACCTTGCTCCAACAGATTACCATTTTTTTCGAAATTTGGACAACTTCTTGCAAGGGAAAAAATTTAACTCTGATGGGGCAGTCCAAATCGCTTTCACAGATTTTATTGATTCCCGTCCGACTGTTTTTTTTAGTAAAGGGATCAATGAACTACCTATGAGATGGCAAAAGTGCATAGAAAACAATGGTTCATACTTTGATTAATTAAATATATTATATTTAAAAATATTCGACTTTTTGTTCCTCCCATACAAAACGCCAATTTCATATGTAAGGACCTAATATTTCCTAACCAATTAGACTTAGGGTCCTTCAAGAAAAGAGCGTATCAATTCTTGAAAGGCCGGCAACACACTTGCGAGCCTTCTGGCATTGTGAGTGTCCAATCAATGGTCTTTTTCTTGTCGCGAACAAGAACTGGCGAGAAACTCCGCCACTCTTTTAAATCGCAAATGTTTGGTTTACAAGGAAATAGTAGGGAACTGCAACAATTACGCCATGCTTCATTTGGCATATTAAATATTTTAATAAAATTATATATTTATGTTAATTTGCGGGCAAAATAGAAGCACTTAACAGTGAAGACAAAATATAATATAAATGCGAGATTAATTGCAAGATATTTCCCACATATATCGGTATTTTAAATATGAATACACTTTTTAGGTAAAATAAATAATTAACACTGAAACACACCAAAAACATGATTAAGTATTTCAGGTGAACTACATAGATCTATCACCGAATTACAGTGGAATTCTAATGGCCATTGGAAATGGTTCAGCGAATTTAATGTGTGTCCTAATATTACCTGTAATGGTCACAAATATCGTCAAGGATGTCGTGAGTACTAAAACTTGTCAATAATATCATTATAAAGGAATATAAAATTAAATTATATTCACATAATTTGATAATATAACCATAAACATTTTAGTTTGTCTCTGGCTAAATAAAATTTAACGAGATATTTTGACTGTCTACTCTGATAAATGGTAAGGAAATCTCCGAAAATTAAAAAAATAAGTATGAATGTGCAAATTTGGTTTATTTTGTTATGAATAGCACCATTACTCCGACTACCGATCCTGAAATTTTGAATGAAATTTCGATGATGATTGATTTTTGTTAAATACTAAAAAGAGATTTAACTCTTTTAAAATTTAAAGATAAAAATTTTGTTTCAGACAAATCAGATACAATGGAGAATGATGATGTATTTAATGGCTGCAATCAATCTTTTTGGGAACATAATATTTTTTATACTTATATCAACTGAAGTACAACCATGGAATGAAGAAAGCTTCAAAGGTTAGTTAAAATTTGTAAAGAACAAAAGTTGTAAGAAAATCCCATAACTCACTATTGAGCAACCCTGTCTTTTTGGTATACAAAGTGATCTGGTATCTTAGTTTGTCTTCTGTAAATGAAAAACGTATTAAATTAAAAATTTGGAAGTTATCTGTATATCTGCGTCTAGTGTCTCATTGTCTTGCTTCTTCTATCGCTAATAATCTCTTAATGAGGCACGGGGTAGTAATATCTTTAATCTTTAATAAATGAGTCTTACCAAACCATAACAGTTACTGTTTCACCCAGTTTGTAACCCTTGAACTCTATTTCATAAATGTAGCATTTCTGTATTAATATGGAAACCTAAATAACTAACAGTTTTAATTCTTTAGATGAGCCTGGGTCTGAAGATGAAGCAATCGCTCTACACGGTTAATTGTTTTTCTATTTGTCATAAAAAAATAAAAGTATTGTTTTCTAGTATAATTATTTCCTATTACATTTTCTCTGTCATATCGTTATAATAAAATAATGCATTTGGCACATAACAATTGGCTACAGATAGCCTTTTATTTTTATAGAATGAACAGAAAACAAATTGTTGATTATAATATATAAAATTACAGACATTCTAAAATGCTTTGAAATTTTTATAAAAATAAAACTTAAAATCGCGTCTGGCACATAGTTAGCAATGTGAAAAATGTCTGGCAATAAAAAAAGTATGTCAGGTAGACGTATTTAAAAAGGAAAAATCAAAAATTACGCTTCTTAAAATGCTTTTAAAATCCAGGATTATTATCTGGACAGATAGGATGCGCACTAATGAACGCAACCGCTACCGCCAGCCAGATTGCCCAGACTCTAACCGGAAGTGCAAGAAGGAAGACATATCACAAAATCAGCTGACCTGAAATTCTTTCTCGAAAACGTTGCTACCTCCCGTACTATAATACTCAAAAAGCGATCATTAGCAACATACTTTAATCAATAGTGATGTGATAAAAAACATTGGCTGGAACGATTTTTTTTTCTATATAGACATTAGACAAGTAAACCTACGGATAACCATAAGCCATCGTAACGGCGACACTTGCGTTTAAGCCTTGCCGTGTTCCTTCACTATACGAGCGAGTTTAAAGGGCCTGATCGACGGACGAGTAAGACCGCGGTTTTATGGCTCGTCGGTAAAGCTCGCCGGTGTATCATTGCAAAACCACGGTTTTAAATACCGCCGAGCCTGGCTCGCGGCTCGTCGTCGTGTTATATTTTTTACTCGGCTCGCCATACAAAACCGCGTGTCGATCACGGCCGGCGAGCCGAGCCTTCACTTTTCGGCGACAGCGCTAGAGGACGGATGTGCGCCAGAAGACCTGTGTACCTACCTACTACAAACTTCGCGTGCGTGCTCAGTCCGTGTCACAATAATGGATCTACGTACTTGCAGCCACGATTTTATAATACAATTTATAAATGCCTTTCGAGACTGTCCCTGTTTATGGCAAACTAAATCAAGCGAGTATAAAAACAAAGCAAATAGGCTTGCAGCATATAATAAACTCGTGGATATTGCAAAAAAATATGAACCAAACTCGGATATACCCGATATTAAGAAAAAAATTCAGTCACTAAATAATTTAATTTAATTTTTTAATTTCACTGATATTAAAGTAGGATACTGCAAACTGGTTTGATTTTTCCCTTCTACCAGGTATCTGATTGTAGCAGACAGACGTTCATGTGGAGAAATAGCTTCTCGCATTACAGTGTCTTGTTTTTGTATTAAAGGTGTCACTAAAGATAACAACTCGTTGTACGATTCCTCAGACATTCTCAGATAATTTTGGTAATCAAGTGGCTCTGCTGCCAATTCTTGAATGGGTATGTGACAAAGCTTGCCTTTTTTCAATCCAACTTTTAACCCAAACTTTAGGGCGTTTTCTTTTTTTTTTCATAACTGCGTAATATCCTATGGCGAGATAACACAAGGCTTCAGACTTGGAACAAGACATGTTTGCGACTGTTTTGCTTGCTAATCGATCAGCACCAACGAGCCGCGAGCCAGGTTCGTCGGTATTTAAAACCACGGTCTTACTCGCCCGTCGATCATAGGCTTAAAGTGCACACATAGAAAGAAAAGGCCATTAGTGCAGCCGTGATTGGAACGTTCGGGGTTGTAAGTTATACGCTTGAGCCACCGTAATTTCTATTAAAATGTGCATTGTTTATTGTCTGAATAGCAATTTTTATTAAAGTCTTACAGCGTTCTTTTGTTTTAAATAAATAATAAATTAAAATCTAATATTATGTTATGTTTTCCGAATTTGAATACTGGAGTACATTTAATTAATTTATGCATTTAGATTATTATGACAAATTATTGTAAATAATGAAAGAATGAACTAAAATTCATTAAATGTCTATAATATAATCAAAAGGGCCATTAAAAATTATATGCTTGACGTTTCGAGAGGTTTTCAACAATCATGGAGAACAAATTGATTTGGGTTTATAAATAATACAACGTAGTTCTAGCGTAATCCGTATTATATTTAAAATACTTATACTAACAAACATTCTTCTACAATAATTAGGAACTCAATTTCCTCTTTTCTTTACCATTTGAGTAAAGCATGGTCTCGGTTTCTTGAGGATTCTCTGTATCATTCTCGCTAGGAGGATCATTCCAATCTGCCTTCTCTCCAGTTCCGAGAATAACATAAAATAGATTCGTGACTAAGTAGAAGCCAGCTGCTACAAAAAAGATTTTCCTCCATAATAGTTCATCCGTCTGCAATAGAAAGACGGATATTTTGCTTATATTCAATATTATGTACGTTTTCTAAAGGTAATTTTTAGTAGATCGAACTTGAAGGTAATGTGGTAAATGATTAGAGTTGATTTTTTATAATAATTTGTCCTGGCAAAAGTTGCTATATAAATTTAATAATATATACTTAATGGTGGCTTACCATTAAGTACCTTACCAAGTGATAATTCACTAAAGGTAAAATATATATATTAAGAATTAATATATACCTAATATATTTAAAAAAAATAGAATACATAAAAAAGATCAAGCTATTTTTAAAATACTTTCGTTACAACCACTGTGACACTAATTTACTATATAGGTATATTATGTTAATAAAAAAATATATTTTCTTTCCATGTTTTAATTTAATCACATTTTTATCTATTCTATCAAATTGACTTACGCTGAGGTGAAAATGTACAAAGTTTTAGCAATACGACCGATTAAATATATTAAAACATGAAGGCGAAAACTTAGAACGCTTTCTTAAAATAATTGTGCAAGTAGTAGAATGTAACGAACTTTATATCGTGAAAAAGTGCGTATTTTTTATAAAAAAAGTGTGTTTCGACATATTAAAATGTTTTTTGCACATTAATGTCATATTCAATCTTATATTTAAATGTCCTTTTATCTAGCTTTAGACAAAGTTTTGCACATTTAGCACATTTTGCAATATCTCCTGCACTCATTAAAACAATACAAGTTGAATATTCAAAAGCCACGAATAATGCAAGAAAACGATATAAAAGCTTCATTAAATATTGAAGGAGAAATTGGCGCGTCAGCGGAATATTTTAAAGATAGCACAGAATTGTCTCTGAATGGAACGGTGATTGTCTATCGACACGAGCGAAATTGGAGGTTTTTGTATTCGAGTTTGTAAATTTAGCCGTAAATAAACTAAACTAGAACTTCAATTCTTAATTATTTTCATTAGTTATGTTAACCACTTCAGTTAAAATGAGACTTTAGCATCTTAATGTGTGTACGTTACTTATATACAACATTAGTCTTATTTTATAATTATTTCAGACGACTTCGTTGGTAGAAGTCGAAGATACTAGAGTTAAATGTTGTAAACTGATATGGGGCAAGCACATTTCTGCCTTTTTTTCATAGAACAGGGGGCAAACGGGCAGGAGACTTACCTGATGTTAAGTTGCCAACCTTTTAGGAATTGGTACACTCTTGGGAAAACATCGTGAGGAAACCGACATGTCTTAGACACAAAAAGTCGATGGCGTGTGTCAGACACTGAAGGCTGATCACCTAATTGCCTATTAGATTGAAAAATGATAATAAAACAGATTCAGAAATCTGAAGCCAAGACCTAAAGAGGTTGTAGCGCCACTGATTTATTATTTTACCTATTACTATTATCTAAAGTATGATTTATAATATGATCTTACCACGTCCGTAAGTATGTAGCCTGCTACGAGAGGGGCTAGAGAGCCTACCAAGTTGGATCCGAAGTTGCTGAGACTCATCATAGTGCCGGCATAATTACTTGAAATATCAATGTGGTTTACCTAAAAACAGTTGTTATGTTTTTTACTACAAATAAAGGAACACAATTATATAACATACAAATAAGCATATAAATAAAAATATTAAAACCGAGGTGTCCCTTATAATACTTTCCTAAATAATATGTTACGAAATCAAGTAATAGTTCAAAATAGTGATATAAAAAACAATGAAATAAATGAAATTTAAAGTATATTGCAAAAACATAAATTTATAAATAGAATAAAATTATTTGAATTAGGAATTATATTATTAGCACTGTTTCCTCGTAGCCAAGACCGGAGGACCTATTAAGTAAAGAGATCAACGTTTGCTCAGTTGGGAGTACGTATAGCTTAATGCTGCTTTAAAAACTTACATGATAACCTAAACCGGCTGCACTTTTGAAACAACAGATGAAAATCAAAAGAGTCTCGACAACATATATATTCTTCGGTACGTAAGCTAGGGTAATTAACCCAATAGCTGCTGGAATACATCCTGAAATTATATAATCAAAAATAGTTCATTTGTATTGTCTCCATCAAACCTCGATTGGACAGGACCAAAAAATGTCCCCAAAAAACCCTGAATTGTTTGCTTTGTTAGTCATATAATACTTACATACACTCGGCGTCAAAAAAATCGCACCTTTTCTAAAATTTGTGTCAAGCGATTATAACTCCGAAGATCCTTCCTGTACCCTTACATTATTAGTATCATTTGAAAGCTAATGAAATCCCTTATTTGAAAACGGTAGGAAATTGGTAACCACCCCCATAAAAAAAGAAAATTCTGGGAAAATGTGAATAAATGTGTATTCTGATCAAAATTACAAAGAACATGAACAATACAAAAATTAAAAATAAACAATAACAATAATTATAAATTAGTCTTAAAACCTAGTGTTGCCTCCTCTAGCCCTCCGACCAGCTTCCAAGCGGTCAGTCATAGACCTGATGAGCGTCACGACGTGTTCCTGGAGAATATTGTCCCACCCCTCGATGACGGCATCTCGAAACTCATCGAGAGTGGCAGGAGCTGGATTACGGGCCCAAACTCGCCGTTTCAGCTCGTCCCAGAGGTGCTAGATAGGATTGAGGTCTGGGCTTCTTGCTGGCCAGTCCATAACCTTGATGCCAACTCGACGTAGGTAGTCCTTGACAATCAAGGCTGTGTGGCACCGGGCGTAGTCGTGCATGAACTCGAAGTTGGCGCCGACAAAACCCGCACATGGGACCACATGCTCCTCCAAAATCTCGGTGATATACCGGTGGGCAGTCAGAGACCCCTGGCCGCGACCATCTCCAGCTCTGGAGCCGCACACGAGGTCTGTTTTGCCGTCGATAGAAATGCCGCCCTGGAACATGCAGGATCCTCCTCCATACCCGACGGTTTCCACGGTGCAGGCTGGTGTGAAACGCTCCCCTGGTCGCCTGTAGACTCTCTTACCCATGTCTATGGTATACAGGCACACTCGGGTTTCGTCGGAGAACAGGACATTCCTCCACTGGTCGAATGTCCACGGCACGTGCGTTTCGTAAAATCGCTTCCTGTTCGTCCGGTGGATGGCAGTCAATTGGGGGCCTGTAGCAGCTCTCCGGGGCATCAAATTCTTTTCTCACAGCCTTCTTCTGATAGTGGAGACGCTGTCTGCTGTCCTTCGAGTAGCTCGAAGCCACTGCTGCAGCTCCACAGCCTTGGAGAAGCGGTTCCGCAAAGACGTCGACACAATGTAGCGAACATCTCTGACGGTAGTGCAGCGACGTCTCCCGGATCCATGTCTCCTCCAGTCCTCCAGATGTAACCTCCAGTCTCTTGAAACCATTGGTATACCCGTTGCACTCGAAATCGGCTGATTTTCAGTTGCCGAGCAACTTCAACCTGCCGTAGTCCGGTTTGAGGTAGGGCCACCACTTGAGCTGCTTCTTCTGCCATGGTATCCATTTTCAATGGGGTTTTTACTGTCGAAGCTCTTCAGGTGTGACCTCTGTGACGTCTAGATAGCGAATAACCCATAATTGACTTTTACCCCCCTCGTTTTATACGCGTCCAGGGTGGTACAATTAGTGAGCCTCCAAATGCGTACATCGCCACTTTTTAATCAAAGTGCTGGCGATTTGTGGTTTTTGATTTTCCGTAAACAAATGATTATTTTTTTATATTATTTAGCTTATTAATTGAGCTTTTAAATGATACTAATAATGATAGGGTATAAGAAGGATCTTAGAAGTTATAATCGCTTGACACGAATTTTAAGAAAGGTGCGATTTTTTTGACGCCGAGTGTATTAGATTACACTAGATGTTAATGAAACTTCACTAATCAAAAGTTTAAGCTTAGCCAGTTAATCGTGTGATACCTACCCTAAAGTCGTGTACACTATTTTAAAACACTATATTATAAAGAGGTTAGATTTGTATGTTTATGTGCATGAAATAGTCTCGAAAACTACTTTACCGATTTAGTGAAATCGAGACTAATAATAAATCTCTATGAAAGTGACTCAAAATCGACGAGGTGAAACGGGAAACGGGATAAATTATCTACTTAGTTTTAAGAAAAAAATATTTAATATAAATATGATAATATATAGGGGTTGTAAGGCAAGCTATATTAATATAATAACTCACCTAAGCTATTAGCTAATTTTCTTGTTTGTGTGACATTTAATATCTTCTTTACGATGAGCATATCCGTCAGCCAACTGAAGAAAAAGTTAGCGAACCACATGCAAAGGAACGGAAGCGCTGTGAGAAGCCCATTCTGCAATTACATGAATTATTTTTTCTAGCTGCATAAAATATCTGTTAAAAAATCTGATAATTTAGCCCTGATATAAGAGTTTATCTGTCTCTTTTCATCACAGAGTAAACATAACTTGGCGGATTGAGATGAAAGAGTACATTATTTAAATGAGTACAATTAGACAATTCGCTTTTTTGGAAATAACGAGACTTTTTAGAAATACGGACGTAAATAAAGACATTAGAAACAACTCTAAATATTGAATATGAATGGTAGGTAATGTAGGGGTAATTTAATAGTCCTAACCGCTTTTATGTTGACCCCCATGACTTTGTCCATGAAGGCTGGAACTTCTGAGTATAATGTCAACTGTCCCCAGGCACTTCCTATATGCGCTATGATAATAGCATACATCCCAGGACATGTTAAAATATTTTTCCATGGCACAGCACGTACTTTCTGAAATATGTATATTCTATATTTAAAAAGCGGTAGTGACCCGGACTCGGTGGAACTGCCCGAGGTGGTTTAAGAAGGTATCTGGCTATGTAGCAGAAACCTGCAAGAAGTAGTGAAGTGATCTACATATCTTTGTATTTTGCTAGCAAAAGAGGTTCTTTTGGGTTTCAAACTATGACCCGGACCATTTCATATCACTTACATAAATTCGTGTCAAAACTAACAAACAAAATATTTAAAACAGACCAAAAAATAGGACCTCGTACTACAGCTATGAAACACAAATTTCTCAAAAGACAAAAAATATAAAATATTCCCCAGCTAGGACATACGAACAACAATGCATTTATAAATATATATATATATATATATATATAGATTTCTGTTAAACATACGTTTCTGTCTTCTGGTTTTTGGCTGAGAGCCTCCTCAATGTAAGTGCGTTCTTCAACTGAGATCTTCGGATGTTTACCTGGAGAATCTGCTGCGAGCCACCAAAAAAAAACAGCTACTATACCAGAAACGAGACCGTAAAACCTAAAGATACCAGGCCAGCCCAGGGAGGATGATGCTATGAATCCAGTTATCGGTAGTCCTAGAACCGTCCCGATTGCTTGACCTGAAAAATAAATTAGTATTTTGGAATTTATTAAGTAAATCTGACGGGAAGGAAAGGAGTTTAATTATGTATGTTAACATCAACAACCTTTTACGTCTGGGTCTGAAATTGCCGGCCGTAAGGCTATACAAAACACGTTTGTTTTTGTCCACACACTACCGTCGCACCGCCATTCACCCGGTTTTTGTCTATCATAAAATTAAAAAAAAATGGCACCACGCACGACAAAGCTCTAGAAGTGAGTCACTGATATATCGGCGCGGTGGACACACGATCGCCGTCACGTCATCTTAAACTCGGCCCGAAATAATCTCGTTCTCGGTGACGTCCCGGTGACGGCGGCGGTGGCCAAACGGCCTAAATATTTCCTTTTTTGTTAATTTACTATAAAATATTTTTCCTACCTCCAAAAGCAAAGCCGGCTAATCGTCCCCTTTCTTCTAATGGAGCCCATTTTCCTAAGAACGTATGAAGACCAGGCATGATACATGCTTGGCTCAACCCTTGAAGAAACCTGCATAATGCTGTTACGATCCACCCGCCCTGAAAAATGAGTAATAAACCAACATTATCTCAGATGGTTCTCCATAAATGCAAATAGTAGGATAAAGAAAACAAAAACAAGGATACAGAAAACATATAGAAATACAGATTATGTCGCTCTGAAAACTCTTAGCATTCAGTTAATCTAATAGAAATACAAATCCCATATTTTACGAGGTCAAAGGGTTTTTAAACCAAAAAAAACATTATTAATTATACTGTTTATTTTTTGTATTAATGAATGGGCAATGTAATAGAGACCCAAACACACAAACCGGAAGCGACTACAGATAAAAAAATATCAAGGACTAAAGTAATAGTGGTTGTAATTGCTAAAAAAATAATGATTACTACTTGTTAATAATAAAAATATGAATCACTTTCCAAACAATATTCAGATAAAATATTCATTATCTTATCAAACCACACAGGTAAAAAGTTAATGTCACGATGTTTTGTATCACAAGGAGTTTCGATTGTCATCGATCTGTGACCACGCCCGCCTTTACCGTAAATTCATATTATGCTCTTAGTATCCTACATTACATTGACCCCTTTATTTATAAGGTTCATCTTATGAAATTCTACTCATTTTTAACCTCTTGAGTAATTTTTTTTTTTTAAGACAATTCACACCAATTGACCTAGTCCCATGCTAAGCTGGTGAAGCTTGTGTTATGGGTAATAGGCAACGGATATACATACATATTATTATAGATAGATAGATATAAATACATATTTAAACACCCAAGACCTAAGCACAACACCAAATGCTCATCACATCGATGTTCGTCTCAGCCGGGGATCGAATCCGGGACCCATGGATTCGCAGTCAGGGGTACTAACCACTAGACCAATGAGTCGTCAAATATGAAACTTCGGTGTGCACCATATTCTTAAACTATTATTACTTAGCAGTCTTTACTTACATAAAAAGCCGCCCAAGGAAAACAAAATGACACGACACAGTTAATAAGCAAAGCGCCAAATAACATGTATTTCGCACCAAAGAAATGAGCAATTTGTCCTGCAGGGATCTGTGTCAACATATAACCCCAGAAAAATGAGGATATTACTGCGTCTTGAGTTTTCTTAGGCCACTTGAATCGGGGATACTGAAACAATTGGAGTTAAGGATACTGTAAGAATCTAAATTGTGAAGTGAAGAATTTTAGATACATAGCAGTGCCATCGCGCAAGAGGTAGAAATTCATATTTTTCAAGAAAACCCTAACTTAGTTTTTATAAACATTTCGAAAAGAGATTTCAGAATTTTTTTTAATAAAAGTCTTTTTATTAAACTTTTTCTCGGTGACAAAAATGAATTTTCGCTAATCGTCGCGGATTTTTTTCTAATTTTAATGAAAACTGTTCACTCACCGGTGGTATCAGCAACAAACTATGAAGTAGGTTAGATTCATCGTTTGAGTCAGTTGAGTTAGTAATAGTTCCATTTATTATAGCCAAATTTACTTGAGATTCCTTTACATCTGTCATCGCTACCAATGCCACTCCCATACATGCTCGCATACTATATGCTATTGTTAATGTTAAAAATAATATGACACATTGCTGGTGTCGGTAACCCCAACCTGCAACTAAAAGTCATCGGCTAAATTGTTGGTCTATTATTGGACATAGGGCTGAAGAAGGCGTCCAAAAGAAGGGATGCTGACGCATCCCGGCCTCCCCCAGCTTTATAAAACAGGGTAAATTGGCCGATGTTAAAGGCCCTTCCTGTGCCAAGGTCCATTCCACATCATTCGTGGCCGTAGAGGACCGTGATATTAAGGGCTGATCGCGTGGCTGGATGCGGACAAGGCTACGCTGTTACCGTGTCCTGCCCCGGGCGATTGCTGGCGGCGCCGTGGGTTTTTAGTGGGTATGCACAACAGCGAGTCCCACATAACCCTTCCCCACCAGGTCAACCGTGCCGCGGGAGGGTATGCGTAACGCATTTCCCCACTACTAATATTGGACATAGGGCTCCTTTATCCTTCTCCAACTCGACAGGCATTGGATGTCAAAAGTTATAGATGATATATACAAAAAATTTATTGAGATGATTCTACATAACTCGATTGTTTACCAATATTGGGATATATTAGTAAACATATCTAATTGCACATAGATATTATACGGCTTGTTTCGGTACTTGTAAAAACAGATAATGTATTTAATGATTTCGTTAATAAAAAAAACTCGGTGCATTATCTGAACTCGCAATTACAAAAGAAGACACAAATTATGTCTTCGCGTTTCTTCGATTTTTATTACCTTTATCTTCGCTTGGTTAAGACAAGGGATTTGCTCAGTAGTAAAAGATACTATCTACAATTGTATAGTTACTACTAAAGCTCTTATACACACCACAAAATCTAACAAATTGTACAACCACACATTTAGGGCATTGAAGAAGCAACATAAAGTCGAATCAAGTATGAAATATTAAAATTTATATTAAAATAAAGTCCCGCAAATTCTTTTATAAAATTTAGTCAAATTAATTTATCACAGAAACTGATTTTAATCGAGTGAAAAAAGTTAAGAAATATTTTAAATAATTTACCTTTGAATTCTTTGGTTGCCGAAATTTCCATTTTTTGAACTTCCAAATTATCATTCTTTTCCATCACTCGGGTTATTAAATGAATGATAATTATATCTTATTTGATGTTGATAAATGGTACTTACCTCTATTTAAATGATAATGCTATCTTGATCAAATAAAAGCTACCGCACTTTGCGTCCTACGTTTAGGAAAGGTTTCGGGTACTGATTTAAATATCTTATATAACTAACAAACCAAAAAATGCTTGATTATATAGTTAAATTATTCAAATATCAAATATATACGGCCTTATTTTCAACCTATTTTTGATACCATTTAAAAATTCCTTTGTGATATCACATACAGGATAAACAAAAATAGATATGCGAATGTAAATGTGTAAGTAAATAGCCTTTATCTTCCAATAACCTTGTAATTATATAAACATATTTAAATATGATGAAAAAAAAGTAATTGAGTGCACAAGAGAATGATAAATAAATAGAATATACACACATGGCGTTTTCCATCCAATTTATGCGTATATAGGCATACATTAAATTAACTGAAGTCAACCCTTTAACACATTTCATAATTTACTTATACAACTCAACTGGGCTCTATTCAAATAATTATTTAATATAAGAGAAGGGACCTAGTAGTTCTACCGTAAATTGGACAAAGTAATTTTTCACCACCACTGGCGGTAAATACTTTTTTTTTTTACTTGGGGAAACGCATTGCGCATACCCTACCGCGGTGCGACGAAGTGCGGGAGGGTTATGTGGGACTCGCGATTGTGCATACCCACTAAAACCCCAAGGCGCCACCAACAATCGCCTTAGGCGGGATGCGGTAACAGCAGAGCCTTATCCGCTCCAATATACTTCGCTAAAAGCAACCGCATCCGCCATGGCGCGGTACCGGCTATAACACACACTGCGTCATAAGACACAGTGCGGTACGCCCTCGCAACCCTGGCAGCGACCACTCGCTGCGACTGCCTGAGTATTGTGCGATTGTACCCGGTAAGTTTGTCGGCCCTTATGGGACACCCGTACAGTGCTTTCGCCCGGATCGCATTAGCGTATAAATGGCGACACCCCCCACTCGGCCCGCCGAGGTTTGGCATTATGCGCGAGAGCATGTTTGCGGAGGCGGTGAGTTTAGGGGCAAGTGCCACGAAGTGTGGTCTGAAAGTCCACCGTGGGTCAAGAACCAGCCCAAGGTATTTGAGCGTAGTACCGACCCGGATAGCTACTCCGCCGACGATGATGTCTGCGTCTTGAGGTGGAGCTCTTCTGTGGCCGTAGAAGCATATAGCTTCTGATTTCTGAAGGGCGACAACGACGCCGAGCTTCCTGATTTCAGAAACCACCCGAGCTACTCCAGCTGTCGCTCGAAGGCGCGCTTCCTTAAAATCTTCTCCAATAGCGACCACGAGGGTGTCGTCTGCATAGCATATAGTTGACACTCCAGGGACTAGTTACGCTCGCAGCACCCTATCGTAACCTTTGTTCCAAAGGAGGGGGCCAAGAACCGAACATTGTGGGACGCCGCACTTGATGAGGTGACTCCCTATGCCATTTTGTTTCGGGAAGATAACACGGCGGCCGTTATACACACAATTTTCTTATATAGGCCGGTAATGGCGGTAAATACTGCTCAAGTAGTAATCAACATTAACGCGGTTTCCCTAGTGGTTAAACGTGTGATTGTACACCCTGAGGTCGTGTATTCACATCCCTCCAAGCCACTGACCCATCACATTCTAACGAAATACGCCATCGATATATCTTTTGTTTTATAATCCCATCGTTGAGACTCAAAATTTGACTTCTCGTGATCATCTATAGCTGTAGTGTTGCGATTGCACCGTGCGCTGTCAAAAAGCAGGCGGAACCCAACCAAAACGGAAAAGATCAAGAATAAAGTTAGTTTAGCAATATTTGTTCATCTAGAGGGGCGCCAATTTTAATCCAGGTCTCACTTGAAGTTTTTAATAAAACCACCGCAGGCATACTATTATGGTGATGCGCAGCGTTAATTTTTAAACAAATAGTTGTTGATTATATATACATAACATGTAAAGCTACCGTTATAGACCAGTCAGTCAAGACAATTAATTCATAATAATTCCAAAAGTTTTCAAATTTTGATGTAAGGTCGGGAGTGGTATTAAAACAAACTATAAAATTTTGCAACCTGCTCTTGCGGTCCGGAACATTGTTAAAAATGCAATAAATGATAATTTGCTTAGTTCTTGAGACCAAAATTCCAAAAGTTCTGCAAAGTTGGAGTGGTGTTAAATATATTATTTTACATCACGTGTCAAATTTGCAACCAATTTAAGTGTACGGAACATTATTTAATTAATGTTGTTCTTTATTAAACTGAAGGAAAACGTTCCAAAAGTTCTGCAAATTTGACAGATATATCGAAAATAAAATAAATAACAAAAAATGTTCCGTACACTTAGGTTGGTTGCAAATTTTATACGTGATATGAAATATTATATCGAAAACTTCCCCAAGTTTGCAAAACTTTTGGAATTTTTTCACGACCATACAGACATAAAATTAATTTAATTGCAATTTTAACAATGTTCCGGACTGCGGACAAGGTTGCAAAATGAGATTTATTGTCGTCCCAATGTACCATTCACTTGACCGAAGTTTGAAAACTTTTGGAATTATTATCAAATTTTCGATTTCGAATGTCTATAATGACTGGCCTATTAGTTGTTTTATAGGGAATATTTTCTTATGGTATAGGTAATAAAATCACACATAACTACTATTTGGAGTACTTTATTACAAATTTCAACATTTACTTTTGTAAATTACAATTTCAGCCTTAAAATTAAAATAAAAAAATTACCATTTGTTGTATTATTGGCTTGGCTTGGCTTCATAGAAATGTCTATAAGATTCAACCTTAGAAGCGACTTTGAAAAAAACTCAACATTTATAAATTAGGCTAGGTTTTATTTCAAATGGATAAGCCTTTATGTTCATACAATAGGAGTGTACCAATTTTTATAAGTTAGCTGCCATTGATTCCTATACGAAGTATCTAGATTCAGACAAGTGTATTTACGTATAAGCATAAACTAATGAATATTCCAGTAAATTTCAATTGTTTTTTTCGTTGAACGCAGTAATCGTAAATAAATTCAAATTCATTTATATATAAAAAAGGTATCTATTTATTTAGGAATATTTGAAAAACGCAACACGTGACGCGCAACGTGACGCGTCTTATTGTTTACTAATCAAAAGTGCTACGAGTATATATTGCTAAATAAATACATAAAATTATACTTATAGGGTATATAAAGGATATTATATAAATGTTTTCTCTAACTGGGTATGTATTTAAATTTGCATAGAACTCGCTCTTGGCTCACAAATCCCTACGAATATTTATTTCAGAAGAAGGGGCTTGTTTTAAGAAACCGTCTTTATTCAAAAAGGAAGTCAGATTACATTTTATGCAAAATTTGATTTTGCCTGTTATTGAGTTGTATGATCGTTGGGTACATTGTTATATTCAAAAGCTTTTAAAGGTTTTTTAAATAAAATTATTGCCACAATTAGTTAATGATAAAGTTACATGTACTTGTTTTAGATGAGACTGTATTTCAAATATTACAAACGTAACGTAACGTTGCTAAGGCAACGTTTTTGACAAAATTACCTTAAACAACGCACCATACAGCTAGTAAAACGGTTTGAAGAAACTTAGAAATCTCTCTAAAATATTAATTAAGTCATTGGACTAGTGTAATGAACAAAATAATCTTAAGCTTATATTTCTACGTAATTTATTTATTTATATTTTATTACCTTAATCAAAAACATATACATAACAAAAATAAAAAAAACAAGTTACAAAAGATAAATCAACATAAAGCGATTTCAGGCACCCAAAGTGAAAATGAAAGAAACACCTAAGGGTATACAATAATGCAAAATTATTAACAAAGAAAAAACTCAAAATAACAGTTACTATAACTAAAATAAAGTAAATCTAAGATAGAATAACAATAATAATAAATAAAAATATTAGAAACAAAAATTAAAATACAATCAAAAAATCAAATATAAAGCTAATTACGAGGCAGATAGAAAATGATCGGAGCTTTTAAATAAATTTAGACTGAGCTGTTAACAATAAGATTGAGTAATATTTGCCTTGAAATACCAAATACAAATTAAATTAATTTTTATTTTTTTATTAAATTAATTATCAGCACAGCTAAAAACTTTTAAAATATTTTTTATATAGGTTAAGATTGTAAATAATTATAGTTTTATAGTTTAATATTCCTTTTTTTGGTTTTTAATGATGAGTTACACATTATGTTTAAAACTAATCAGTATGGGCAGAAACTTTACAAATATAATCAATAATAATTATTTACCTTCTTGGTTTAATCAACGTACGTTTCATGTATCAATAAATATAAATTATTTAAAAAATCAAAATATTTTTACACTACTTTACATTATTAGGCTTGGAGGTATTTCCCTTAATTATGAGTTACTTTTGAGGACTTCCTTCTCTTTCTTCAGTTTGTTATCTTTGGAATCTGAAATATATAGGAATTAAATTTATTTTAACCTTACCATAAGAAACCAGTTATAAACTGTTTAAAGAAGACGTTAAGCAGTTAAGATAAATGTTTACACACTAAAACCTAATTCCCGGCACAGAAGTTGAAGTTTTTAAATGCCTAGAAATTATTTTAACTAATATTAATTGCTCTGCACGAACTTTTTTTAATAGATCAGGGGGGCAAACGGGCATGAGGCTCACCTTTTTTTATATCTTACCTCCACCGAGCTAATATATTCTAAATAACGTGACAATACCCAGAGAGTGATACGTTTCTATCGACAACATTAATTTGGCGGACTACCATGGTAATCAAACCCGTCTAAAGCCAGCCACATGCCACAAAGCCACAAAGGCAAACAAAATCAAATAAAACAAAAAACTAATGTGTAAAGCATCATTGTTTTAATCTGATTGACCGTTGCTTTCTTAACGTCAAATAAAAATACTGTGGCAATTTACCACACAGTTAGTTTAAGATAACTCTAAGAATAATACCCAGCGGTCATTGTGAAGGTTAGCACATAGCAAACTTTCGATAGTTACGTTAAGTATTTCGTAACATGTAAGTCTTAGAAGATACTTGTTACTGATTCGATATCAGATTGTTACTCCTATCCGACGTCTATAATAGTTGTTCTTTCAGTACTTCGCGTTAATATGAAACTGTTAATAAACCTTCGATATAGCACGACTTTTGACATGCATAACTTACTATAATAATTATTTTTATATTAACGATAGTCTCGAAGGAATTTAGATAAATCGCCAATATATTGAGATTGATGTGAGGTAGCGAGGGGTAAACGTAGAAATGGAATGTATTTATCCACCGACCCTTTCCCACTTACATTTACTAAGTTCAGGGCACTTGTAACGTGTGTAAAAGACACTATTTCAAAGTGATTCGCTTTAGTAAATACAAAATATTATTTCATCAATTCCTTCACTCTTCATCAGTTGAGCCTCCTTCCCGTTTGCCTCCCGACATAAAAAAAAAGATATAAAAAAGGTAAAAGCCCGTGATCAGAAACTACTATTTAAATTTATAGGTTAAATTATTATTATTCATCTCCGCGCTATTTTTGTTTCGATGATGGATAGGTTAGATTTAACGAAGCCCTTTCTAAGAAACGGTTATTTTTTTTGTTAAAAAACCAAGCAGACAAACAAAAATACATAAAGGTATTTTTTAAATTGGTCTACCATAAAGTGATCTAAACTATGATATAACACACAAAGAAACTGACTACTGACCGCTTGAGCCCGACTAGCATAGCCACGATTTCAGATATCCTTCCTTCCTTCCTTATTCATATATTTAGGATATGCCTTTTCAGTTTTAAAACCCTTAGTTTTAGCCTTTATTACCTGTATATCCTCTTTCGTTCCAGGGTTGTACATCAGTCGAAAGGAAGATGACAAATATGATATTTCCAAGGATCATCACGCTTCCTATTAAAAACATCGTAATTCTCCACTGAATTTGATTTGTCTGAAATTCGGATAAATTATGTAAAGAAAGAAGTACCAATTATTCTTAACCTTTAACTATATACCTAATCATTAACTCCAACTGAATAGTAAGTAAGTATTAACATTTGGTGGAAGACTTAAAACCTGGATGATCTGGGTAGTAAAATCTAATATATTATAAAATTCACCTATCACGGTGTTTGTAATTAAACTCCTTCGTAATGGCTTCACCGATTTTCGTAAAATTTTGTGTACCTACATATCGGTTAGGTCTGCGAATCGGACAATGCCCAAAAATGAATGCCTAAAGTATGAAATAGTTACAAATAAATAATCATACAATTCAAGTACAGGTAGAGCCTCGTTAAGTCGAACCTCGATAAGCTAAGGCCAAAAACCCCCAAACCTCCAAACCAAATTTTTGTTCCCTTCCCTTAAAACACCAAAACCTCCATTAGTTGAAATCTTGACCCTCTGTTAATCGAAATAATCACCGAGTCCCCCTCCAAGCCATTTTGGTACATATTTTCACTCTATAACTCGAAAAATTAAATTTGACCTCTGTATTCGAACATAAACGTTTTATTTTACAACCTTTACAACTTGTATTTGGTTTATTCTTTATTGTTCAACAAAAAAAGTCGACTTAGGCTTGCCGACAATGTGAGTACACTATTGTTTCTTAGAAAACATTTTAGGAGTATGCAATATAAAATTATGACTCTGGGAAACACGTGTTTGCTTGCTTTGTGTTTCAGGTGTTCAATTTTTTTTAAATTTATAAGAATAAACCTCAAACTCTTTATGTCGAATAAATTATACAAACTCGAATTTTGCTCCTTGTGTTCGACTTATAGAGGTTCTACTGTATATAGGTTGTACACGACTAACTAAACAGATACCAAGGCCAAGATCCATACAAGATTGTAGCGTCACTGTATTATTATTAACTTACCACGTCTTTGACAATATTAGAAACCAGTATTGGTAGTACCAAGACACAAAAGTTCGCTAAACCATTTCCGATAGCCATCAATGCACCACTATAATTGGGCGATAGATCGATGTAGTTAACCTGAAATATGTGTTATACATTAGAAAATATTGTATTGTCTAAATTAGTGATTCCTATAACCTTTTTTGTGCCATGCACGTGCACCTTTCTTAGGAAGAAATTAGGAAACTAGGAAATTGTTAATGAAAAACAGTAAGTATATTTTCAAAACATATTATAATGAAAAAGTGAAATTCAAATTCCAAATAAAGTTAATAAATTTTTGAATAGCCCCCCTTAACAATATAATTTTCCACCTGCGGGGCGTGGGCCCTACGTTGGGAAACATTGTTCTAAAGCAATATTAATTTATCTACGTTGAGTAAAACATTATGAGAAATAAATTAAATCTTATAATTTTTTTTCATGCATACGTATACATTATTCATAAATATACTATGTTCTCAAGACTGATCAGGCCACTGGAGTTTACGTCTATTGAGATTGGCCATGACAATAGACATCAGCGTGAAATAATGCATAAGTATTCAGACTATTGCAGACTATTCCATTTATTAGCCCTAGGGACTCTTGTCAAATAAATGAGTGCCTTTACAATACAACATAGAGTACACTATATGTATATTATATAGTAGCAACAAAAAACATAAAATATAATAAAAAGTAAAAACTAGAATATGTATTTACAAAATGGATAAGCGATAGCGAGGAGAGATTGTAACTCTAAGCCTTCTACCTCTAACTCTAAGATTGTAACTTGGTAATATTACCAATTTATTCATATACTTACAATATTTGTATATACTTACCACCCAACCCGTATGCATTGCAGACTGCGCTCCAAGGCCCGCCACAAAACAGATTACGGCTAATGTCACGTTTTCAGTATACGACACTAATACTATGCATAGCCCTGGTCCCAGTGTTCCTGAGTTAAAAGAAATGCTTAACTTTATATGGAATTTATATGAAGTTACTTAATTTTTCGAGAGTTAACAAAATGTACGTAAAATGTTAATGCCAGTTAGGCAAGTTAGTGGTGGGCTTCTATGCCTTCCAACCTGAGACAATAATTATTACTTTCCATGATTCCAAACCGAAGCGATGGACTTTTTATTTGAATAATCAAACTAAATAACTTAAATAATATGCTTATTTTGAAGGTATGAAATTTACATAAAAAGAGGGTCTTTTTATGTAAATTTCATAATACCATTGATGAACATTTATTTGGTATCTTTTGGAGAAATGATATTTATTGTATGTATGACATGCCTTTTATTTCAGGATGACGACATTATTTATAATCTATTTCACGGACTTCAAGTCCTAGTACATATTGAAACGTTACGTTTCAAATATCGATAATCGGCAAGTTATACGTATAATACTTTGAGGTTAGATTCAAAGACTAAGTGTGACTTCCGTATGTCAAAAATTTGACATACTGACATCCTTAACACTCCAGGCATTTTGTACAAAATTATAATATTATATTTCATTGCAAGCAGTAAAAATATACTTCCTACAACCTCACAAACAGTTAATATTTTACTCACCCACAGAGTTGCTAAGTCTTCTAACATTTTTCATTGTCAGAATATTTTTATTTACAAGAACGTCAGATAAATATCCAAAGAAGATGCAACAGATAACAAATGATACATAAGGTAAAGATGAAAGAAGACCACTCTGAAAAATTAAAAACAATATTGATGTTACACTAACATAAAAAATAGATTAGGGTGATAGGGATATGGCAAAAATATCTATAGTACTCAATTTCAATTACGCGAGTAGATGTCACACATTTTAAAATTCTAGAGTTACCTGGAATTTATAATCTTTCCAAATGTTTCCAAAAAAGGCCAGCACTCTTTATGAATTTACTATTTATATATATTACATACCCTATATATTCAATACTACTTACATTTTTAACATTTACTTTAAGTATCGCATGCATATAAGTCGGCACTTGCATGAAAAAGAAAGTATAGCCAACGGCGACCCCAATATGAGTTATGATTGCACTCCAAACAGGTGTTGAAGTGAAAATCGCTTTCCATGGTATTGTTGGTTGCTGAAAAATTAATGTGCTAATAAAAACATGTAATTACCAAAGATCAAATAGACCAATAAGTCTATCTCTATCCTTAGGTCCAATATAGCGTATTATATAAGATGAAAAGGGAACAAAACAACATAATCTAATAAAATATTCACCGAAAAAGCTTAACTTAATTGCTTAGTTTAATTGGTTCATACGAACTGCTAATTGCGGTGATTCTGGAATGTTTCTGTTAGTAACATATACACGGAAAGCCTATATATGTTTTAATTTGTATACATTCCTCTTTCATACACTGTTATTTATATGCCATGATCCACCATGCATAATTCCAATATACGTATCATATTGTATGAGAATGTTTAACTTAATCATGTTTATGGGCGTTGTTGTGTACCTATTGTATTGAATGTAACCTTACATATTAAAATAAAGGCTAGCTTTCACAAGCAACACTGCTTAAATTTAATAGATGTAGGAGTCTAATATTTCGCATAATTCACGTTTCCAACTTGACGGCTCATTGGTCTAGTGGTTAACCCCTGACTGCGAATCCATGGGTCCCGGGTTCGATCCCCGGCTGAGACAAACATCGATGTGATGAGCATTTGGTGTTGTGCTCAGGTCTTGGGTGTTTAAATATGTATTTATATGTCTATCTATCTATAATATGTATGTATATCCGTTGCCTAGTACCCATAACACAAGCTTACTTGAAAGCACTTTCATGAAAGTCTTATCACCATTGACATTTAAAATAATTTTCTAACTAATAATCTAAACACCACAATGAAATCACTAAAAAATAGCACGCGTCTGAAGTGCGTCCAATAGACAACGACCATGGAAGCACACCGAATACTGAAATGTGACCTCTGGTTTCAGAACCTACGAAGATGTAGTGAACTTTCGCTATTGGCAATTAAGTCGTTGGGCGTAGGCGCAACGTCTGGCGTGAAACAAAATATGTTTCAGTTCTTTCGCACATATCTAAAATTATATTCGAAAGAGGGTGAATTGTATGAATTTGCTTTTTGTTCTCGCAATATACCCTATAATACGTTAGTCGAAAGATTATTATTAAACTTTTTGATTCAACTAACTCATACTCACTCGTCTAACAAAATATAGCAAGATAAATAAGTGTGCAAATGAATTATCATTATTTCATAAATTAATTTAAGGCCGGTTGAAGACTTTTTGTTTACACATTATAATTAAATCAAAGGCAATATAGGTATGACTTTACTTTCCTATTAAATTTAAGAAAATTGCATGAAATGTTGAATACAATTCTTATTTTAATCGTTCCTCTGATGGTCAATCAGACTGAACTGTCCTATACAAGCATAATTAAGTTAGCCACTAACTTACATATTATCTGTAATCAACGCAGTCTTTGCGATATACTATATTATTATACGGTACTTACGGTGTGAGTTCCTTCTCCTGAGTCACCAATAATATACTTCATTTCTGCCTCCGTAATGGTTTTATGATCATACGGAGTAGCTGAACTGAATATGGTCATAAGAGTGAATCCAAGCAGACAGAGCACACCTATGGTCCAGAAGGTTGACGGCCAGCCAAAGCGACTATATGCCAGAAGACCACTGATTTGGAAGCCCAATACTGTACCTAATCCTGAACCTAAATATTAGTATAACTAAGTATTCTGTTAAAATAATATTTTTTTAAATAATTAAAACAATTTATGTAATACAAAAATTTCCGAGAACGCAAATTAGGAATTTCCGACATTTTTAAGTCGTTCTCGAAACGAATTTTTTTCGAAATTATATATATATAAAGATTAGCCGCCGCGCGCGCCAAAAACCCAACCGCTGAAATGTGTATTTGAAAATTACAGCCGTCTCAAAGTCGTTTACGTAAATTAATATATAAATATCTAGAGTATCAGGTACCTGAAATTTTCGTTGGTCATCAGATATCAGCTAGATTAGTAAATTATTGATTTAAGGAAGCAGACAAGTTTACAGTTTGCTAAAGTTAAGTTAATCTTCGTTAAATGAAATTTCGGATTTCTAAAAAAATATATCAAAAAACTTGGTATACCTGTATAAACATAGCTGCTTAAACTGCCACGCTCACTTATTGGTACCCAATTAGCTAATAACGTGTGTATGCCTGGAAGCATACCACCTTGAGATAATCCTTGCAGTATGCGGCAGACTGATAGTGCCTTCCAGCCTCCCTGAAATAGTTATATTTTTTAAATAAATTAAACATTTTATAAGTTAAACTAATTCATGTAAGACAATTCTTCATACTGCGCAAACTCTTGGGGCGCGAGCGCTGTGAGATTGCATACAAATATATTACTCATATTATATATTTTAGGTTAGCGTTCAATACAGTATAAAACTTTTAGTAGAGGTTACATATCAGTGTTGCATTATACCTCGTATATAAATCAACATTTCAAAATTTACTTACCCAAGCAACAATCCATGGCGACAGAATCGATAATATTCCATTAACAAACATAGCAATTTGTAGTGGTATCTTACCACCCCATTTCTGACAAATTATCCCACTTGCGAATGTCATTACGGCATAGCCCACAAAAAATGAAGACAGCACCATTTCCTGCGTCGATTTTGGCCATTGGTACGTCTGTAATATACGCAGTACAGTTATGGATGCAAACTCAAACTCAAAATATCTTTATTCATGTAGGTAAACAAGTACAATTAAGAATTGTCAGTAAGAAGTTAAATTAATTCTAAATTTACTACCAGTTCACAAGTCAAGGGCGTAGAGCGGGTAAGAACTGGCAAGAAACTTTCCGCCACTCTTTTTAATCGCCAAGTATTGTCATACAAATTGTTTGAACTGGAGCAAATCAATCCCAAAGATTAGGATCAATTAAGTAATTCTCAAATTTATAAAAAGAATAATATTTGGTTTAAATATTTATTAGGAATACCAACAGAAAAATCTTAAGTATTAATTTAAGATAACAATTTCTATACTACTTAATTAATTAACGACAGGAATGAAAACAATAATAATTTTAATTTGGTATCATATTAGATTTCAATTGGCCACTATAGATATTTCAAAATTACTAAATAATTTGTTTATGTTCATGGTTTTACTTGAAAATCATAACATAATAATGGTACATAGGTATTATCTATTGTGCTTAAGAATCATTTATACTGTGGTTTTAGTGATGTTAAAAGGGACACGTAGCCGACTAATTGCTGTGTCTATAGAAACATTTATCCTTTTTAGAAAGTTTGTGGGCTACATGCCCACTTATGTTAGATATAAAAGACGTATGCCGTATATTATAAGTTTATTAGGTAATCTTTTTGTATTGAATTTATTTTATGTAGTAATTAGGTAATGTCTATTTAGTACTTAGGTATTACTATTATCTTTGTTTACTTAAATTGTTGTACTAAAAGTGTGACGTAACGGCGATCCTTGGTGCAAATGACGAAGGCTGTTGGAAAGTTTTGAAAAACTACTGCAGTACAGTCATGAATATTAAAATGTAAATAGGGGCCAGGGAAGTTAAAACGTACGCCCCCTAATACTAATATCTAGGCTCAAAGACGTCCAAGCGGGATCCATGCATCTAAAAGAAGAGATGCAGATGCATCTCTACAAGTACTGAAGTCGACCTCCCCCTGCTCAATATACAAAGTCGGATTAGACTATTTTAGAATGATCCGATGTATCAAGGGTTCACATGATATATGCCCGCGGATAACCAACGATGAACGGTAGAATGCACGGACAAGGTTTCGCTGTTACCGTGTCCCGTGTATAGCGAGTTTTGGATGCGAGTCCACATCGACTTTCCGCTATTATTTACTAGCCGTTGTTAATATGTGAATGCAATGTATGTTGTTACGCTAACTCACTATTTGTATTAATATGGAAATTCACTAATGTAGAGTATGCATAACTATGGCTTGCAAATTAATTTAGAGAGAAGATTACAAGGCGCATAACTATACATTCATCGAAATGTTCCTCAACATTGGTGGTACTCGTATTGAAAAGGTTATTATACTATTATTTAAGATATCTCACAATTAAAAAGATTAGTTTAATTACATAATAAACAACATTATTAACTAAAGTAACGTCTGACATTATATTCATGTTGTACATCAAGACAGAAGAGCTTGAAACTCTTAACCCTGCAGTCGACCGATTTAATTCCACTTACGAACCTGGACATTTTACCATTGGCTCATGAAATAAACATTCTAAGGAAATTGGCATTATTCAGATCTAAAATTGACAAATATTATATAAAAAAATATAACAACTGATGATACCCGAGGCCCATTAAAGTAGTAATTCCACTAGATTGTTTTTTATTTTTAATAAATAATGACGAGTGCTTCACCTTTAACAGTATACTAAAACTGATTGAATGTTTTATTCATAAGCGGTCTACTTACTCTATAAATATTCCATACACTATCCTCAGTTACGCTGCTATTTAATGCACTGTTTAAAGTGAAGTTCGTTCCATTTACTATAGTAGTATTTTCATTAATGTTCTTAACTTCATCGGTCATTGCTACCACGGTGACACCCAAATGCGCACGCGCAAGGTAAGCCAGTGCGTATGCGACAAACATAAAGAAAGCTTGAATATGTCGCACTCCATAACCATACACGGGTGGGACAGAAGTCTTTTCTGTAATACAAAAATATTGGATGGAATTATTTATAATAAATCGACAACACTTACGACAAGTGATCTCTATGAAACAGTTTATTTTTTTATACAAAATACATCTGCTCAGTGAAATCTCAAGCAAAATCTCAAATAAAACAATTATAAAACCGGATTGTTGGTACCAATATTTAATAATAACATATACCCACACCACATACATTGGAAACTATAGATAAATAAGTATCAACTCTAATGTGTACAAAGTTTTCACAAAATGCAATGCAAAGAAAGTCTTGGAATAATAACACAAGTCTCGGATGAAAACCAAACACTTGAACTTACTAATATCTTTCTTTACTATAATACAAAGGGCTCAAATAGGTATAAGAATAGATTAGCGCCAAATATGTCTGTCGTATATCAAAAAACGTACCTATAACACAATACTTGAATTGTCTTTGCTATAAAGTAGTAATATAGCGCTAAGTTTCCACCCTGAATCTTATTTTTAGAGTTAAGGACTTCTAAGCGACTCTTGACGAATACCGTTTATTGGTAGAGCATAAAAAGTATTATTGAGAATTCTCTCCTTTAGGTTTAGTCTTTAAAATTAAATACAGTGAAATGTACACGTACCTGCACCATTTTCCAGTACCTCTTTTGTAGGCACTTTTTTATACTCGTCGAGCGTCATCTTTGTATGTATAAATAGTTATATCGAATTCTCGCTATGTCACTGTTATTTAATGTCTGCTACAGTATATATTTAATATTATGATATTGTTTAAGATGTGCTCTTTAGATCAAGAAAGTGTCAAAGATTAGAAAATCTAGACCCACCCATGTAACAAAGAATAATACATGATTAAAATCAGCAGCAAAACAGTAACTAGGCAGTCGTAAAAGGCATCTATGTATTGTGGACTCAGTTTTAGCTCTTATGAAAAGGTGTATTTGGTTAAATTACTTTTTGATTTAAATACAGTTTTAAATTTTAATAGCAGTTTCTTATGGCCTTTACGGAAGTGGACCGGCATCTCATTCGAGGATATCCGATAATTTATGTTGTTAACAGCTAAGTCTCAGTCATGAAGAAGTAGGTCTTATTTTTTTGTTAAATTCTATTCAAGTTTGTAATATAAGAAAATACATTTTTTTTTTCAAAATTAATTAAATTCTTTTTAAACAATATAGCTACTATTTGAGTATTAACAATAATGACCGCATCTGTGCTACTTCATCTTTATAACTAGTCAAATAAAATTATCAATGAACACATAAGCTGATATAAATTCCTTAATATTTTATAAAATTAATTACGTTATCATTTTACACTATACAAGTTAAGGTTGGATACGTTTAATATAAAGGTAGTTTTGGTTCTACAATAGTAATTTCGGTTTTCCGAGTGTTTTACTCGAAATTACTGTTTTAGACAGCTTGTGTTGTAGTAGTATTTACTGTAGTTTTTAAATATCTTGGATACTGACTTTTTCCTTTAATAAAGTTTGGTAAAATGACAAGTGAAAACGCGTCTAACTTTGGACCGTTTAGGGAGTTTATTTCGGGATAAAGTAGATAAAATAATAACAATTCAATGTCTTACTTAATCTCTTAGCTGTTAAATAATTCTTAGGTAATGCTTTTAACTTGGAGGCCTGGGTTCCTGTGTCAATGTTTGAAATAGTTTTCACTGAAAGGCTCAGGAAATTCGTAATTTATTCTTAATCATACATCGAAGCTATTATGGAAAAACAGTATTGCTGGTAAATTTTCATAATCCATCTATCATGTACATAATGATAGTTTGGAAATGCGCACATTTAACCGCCCATTGTTGACGATCATTCATTCAGTGTACAACGCATAAAATTATATGAAATGTTAGATGGGTGGTTGTTGCTTTGACGGTTATAATAGCCCCTAAAGGTAAAAACTTAAGATATTGATCCATTTTTCTGTCTAAAAATATTAAAAAAGTCGGATACAAAGAGACTTGGTCCACATGATCTAATTGAAATGAGTACGAAGAGGAATAACTACATCTTGAATATTGCATAGTCGGCACTTGCATAAAGAAAGTGAGGCCAAAGCAATCCAGACATAAGTTATGATTGCACTCAAAACGTGTGTTGAAGTGAAAATTGCTTTCCACTACACTTTAGCTTGCTGTAAAATTATATATTTTACCCTTCTACTTGTACGTAGTGCGCGCAAAATTTTGTATCCTAAAGCTCAAACCGCGGATTATTAAGAATTTTCATAGATATTTACAGAATTCGTCCGCATACGGTATGTCAATATTGAATTTAGATTTACTGATAATGTATTTTTCAGTTTTCATAATGATTTAATGGTCATATGGGGTAGTTTTAAATATGGTTAGAGGGAAGAACAAACCATATTGTTAGGAAGGTCCAAGGCCAGCCAAAGCATCTGTGAGCAAGGAAACTTCTAAAAAGTCTATTACAGTACCTAATCCTGAAGCTGTAATTGTTTTATTGTACTAGTTTCTTTGGTTATTTAACTTTTTTATAGCTTAGCACTTCATGGCTTAATTTGTTGTTGTAAGCTACATTTGTTGGGTGAATAAAGCAAGTATGTATTTAAAAAATATACTAGCATGGCAGTTTCAATTTTCAACATTGTTACTGGTAAATCGATAGTAGTAAATAAAGTAAATCTATATCAAATTCAAATTCAAATTCAAAAATCATTTAATCATATAGGTAACACATTCTACACTTATGACTTGTCAGTAAAGAAATACACATTAATGCTTCTAATTTTACATTTAGTGCCAGTTTTCAAATCAAGGGCGTAGAACGGAAGAGAAGAACTGGCAATAAACTCTCCGCCACTCTTTTTAATCGCCATGTTTTTTCTATCGATATAATATCTATCTACACTGTGCATAATATTTTCGCTAATATCAAAGTTAATTTACTAAAAATATAGTCAAGTATACTGTCGCTCGGTCAACGTAAGGGATTACAGCCATTAGGAGAGCTCTTCCCTGCATTAACATTTACAATGAAGACTACCTGTATAAACATGGTTAGATTCCGTCACTGAGTGGCACCCAATTAGCAAATAATATATGCATTCCGGGTAGAATAACGCCCTGTGGTAAACCTTGTAGTATCCGGCATATGACAAAGCTTCTTCCTGGAATTAATAACTCATTAGTACCTACAGTGACAATTGTATAGTTGATTTAAATCGAAATGTAATTTAATTATTATATTGAAGCGGCTAAAAAGCTAAAGCATGCAAATACAGGGGTAAAGGCTCCAAATATGATTTTGTTCCATTCGGTGTCAAGAACCTTGGTCCGTGGGGTCCTAGCGCTATAAGGCTTTTTAAGGAAAAGCAAATAGGTTAGTCGACATCACAGGAGACCGAAGAGCCTGCTACCACGAACCAATAATTAGTCTAGCTATTCAAAGGAGGAATGCTGCCAGTATCTTCGGAACCTTGGCTAAAGGGACTCCTTTTAATAATATATTTTAGGTTTTATATTGTATTTTTTAAGGTTATTAAGTATTACTTTTATATTCTGTAATTTGGTTGTTGTATATTAAGAGCGATACATAAAGAGCTATTATTGTAGTTTATGTACTTCTATTTTTTTTTATTACACTTATAAGATATTTAGCTCTTCATAATTGGATGAATCGAAATTTACATTTCGAGTGGATATAGATTAAGGTTACTTCCAAAATCAAAAACCATTAGTATTTAAAGGACTTCCAGAACTAACTATTTTTAGTGGAGTTTTCCACTTCATTTCACACATAATGTCCCACTTGCAAATATCAAAACATAGTTGAAAAATGTAGAAAGACCCATTTCGTGTGTCGATTTAAGCTAAAGTATTTCAATTATCATTTACAGCCAGAATCGTTAGTGAGTCCTGTGCCTGAGTACCTTTTCAGGGACCTATAGCAGGCACGTAAATCTCTGATACATGATAATTATGCGATTAATTGAGCCATAAATGATTATTTATTTAATCTTTCACATTGCATAATGTATAGATATTTCAAAAAAGATTAAAGATTACTTAAAATGTGTTTATGTTTGTTTGTGAGCAGCGCTTGTGCCTGTGTGGCACTTAATACCCTCATTATTGAATATATATATATATGATGTTTTTAAAGGTGAGTGCACACTCTTTAAAGTATTAGGGCTAGCTATTTAAAATTGCACTCCCTAAGTAATAATTACGATTTTTCCTTAGTTCGTCCTAGTCTTGGGTACAACCTATGGGCCTGGTAGAATGTGAAAGCGAACCAGGAGCCTCTCCAATGCGACCTTGTAGGAACTACCCGAGGTGGTTTTAGTGGGTATTCTAGCTTGTGAATCGGTATCAGAAGTCAGCATTCTCTTAAGCAGAGATTCTGGTGTGGGTCAAGTCTCACTTACCCCCGCTACTTTCGAGGGCAAGGGATGCGCAAATGCATTTCACCTCGGATGTCCCAAATGACTAGCCCGGCGGGTAGTTCGTGGAAAAGCACCTGACATATAATAATGAGACTATTTTAACAAAAAAATTGTATGTAATAAATTATATTGTATTCAATACTGTACTCAATAATTCCTTTAAAAGAACAACAAGAATCGTTTTTAATTTGGTAGTGAATTTGAATACAAATTAATTTACAAATGCAAACAGTATTTCAAACATAGAATTATTAATAGGGTTGTCACGTTCTCCCATTTACCAATTAATGATTTATTAATCCGGGAAACCGCAAATATACTTAGTTTAATACGCTTACGACTATTGCAGTTTAACACCATTATATAATACAATAATTTATGCATTCAATACTATTTGTTATCGATAATAATGTTAAGGAAGAAGAAATTAGTTCGAAGCGATATTATGCTTGAAGTGATGATATTGAAGTGTTGTTTCACGAAACTTATTTGTTAATTAATTATAACTGCTATAATGAAATGATGAATTGATGAATTTGAATAATGAAGATGAACGATGCATTGCTGTTTGAAGTTCCCTATTTCGGGTTTAATGTTTTTATATGCCCATATGAAGTAAACGTTATAAAAATGAAAATAAACGCATAGCGACAACCCTAATTTAATAGGTATTGATAAAATCATTCATTGAATATGTGGCATTGTTTCGTTTAAGCTCCGTAAAAGATCCGAAATGTTTAGTTATGAAAATAATATTGAGCGGCCTGTCTCGGCTTCGCACAGAAGAATTAGGAATTATTTTTAAAATATTTTGGATATCCATTTATTAATTCTATATAAAATATTTTGAATTTGAAATCGATCTACAAAGCAATATAATTTAAGTTGAGGGCTTGGAAGTATTTGGTTATAGAACCAAGTCTTAATTTCATTTATAACTACTTGCAATATATTTGGATTTATTTATAGTTTTACTTAAAAAAAGGATGAACAAACAAATATAAATGTTGAGTACAGCACAGCCTTATTAGCAGCGACCTCTTCCAGATAACCCTTGTTAAAGGAACAATAACAAAGAAGGGGAAAAGAGTGAAGATACCATAAACTAATAATATGTAATTAAAAGGTGTAAGTTGGCGCCTGGTAGTATCCTGGTAGTATAGATAGTACCGGTGACCCTAGAGCTGGTGCTTTTCTCGCTCAACAAATTAGTATCGGAATACAGGATATTCTGCGACAGTTAAAGGT